AAATAATTCTTCCCTACTTCACTCATTTGTGATGCCAGTTTTATCACTTTAACTGTAGTTACCAAACTCGGTGCCAAGGAGCCCCCTTTAATGTCTGTTGGACACCATAAAAACTACTAACTTGAGGTAGTTCAGTTTCAACATTAGGCAGGTTACATGCCTTTTGATGATATAATATCTTTGCAGAACACGTTTTTTGGCAGACAGTGATAAAATGCAACTAGTGTGTAAAAATCAATGTGGAACAGGAAATGAGGGTGGCAGTATTCAATCTCATTCCAAGGTCTGACAAGCTGAGCAGTGTTCAACAGGTACACACATCCCATTACTAAGCAACTGTGGTTATTCTTTTAAATGGCTACTAAGTGATTAGGACATAAACACTTATTATTTGAACTGTGGCTGTTATCCTTTGAAAGTCCTGCTTACAAGGTTGGCCATGGGCTGGTCTCTAGGAATTTAGATTTCAGGAGGTATCTTAGGCTGGGTTCTCTAGAGAAGCAAAACCAGCCAAGCATATAAATATATGTAGAGAGAGATTTATATCAAGGAAATGGCCCACGCAGTGGCAGAGGCTGGAATGTCCCAAGTCTGTGGATCAGGATAGAGGCTTCTCCTGATTCACGTAGCCACGGGGGCTAATGAACCGAAGACCAGCAGGTCAGCGAGCAGGGCTCCTACTCACAGGCTGCGAGGATGGATCAGCAGGCAAGACCACAAGTAAGCCGCCAGCTCAAGTCCCAAGAAATGGAGGTCAGATGAACAGGAGCCAGCTGCAGGATCCAGAACAAGTAAAAGCCCCCAAGCCTTACCAGAATGTCCATTCATATTCGGGGCTACAAGGAAATGCCCTTTCAACTGATCGGCTACTTACAGCAGATCCCATCACGGAGGTGATCACATTATACCAAATCTCATCATGGAAGTGATCACAACATCATACTACCACCAAACTACATCATAACTGCCAAACCACCAAGAATTATGGCCCAGCCAAGTTGACACACAACCTTAACCATCACTGGAGGGTTACAAACATTCCTGGACGAGGAAAAAGAACAAAGAAGAATTGATGCCTTTAAATTATGGTGTTGTGAAGAATACTGAACATGCCATGTACTGCCAGAAGAACAAACAAATTTGTCTTGGGAGTACAGCCAGAATGCTCCTTGGAAGCAAGGATGGCGAGACTTTATCTCATGTACTTTGGACATGTTATCAGGAAGGACCAGTCCCTGGAGAAGGACATCATTCTTGGTAAAGTAGAGGGTCAGCAAAAAAGAGGAAGACCCTCAAAGAGATAGACTGACACAGTGGCTGCAAAAATGGGCTCAAATACAGCAACAATTGTGAGGATGGTAGAAGACCGGGCAGTGTTTTGTTCGGTTGTACATAGGCGTGCTGAGTTACTGACTTGATGGCACCTAATAACAATAACACTACCAACATTCCCTAATGGATAAGGGTAAACAATATGGTTTACGCTGAATACCTGCTTTCCTTCTGGGAGTGTGGAATTTTGGTGCACATTAGGCAGAGAGTGCCTACGTGACCAGCTCCCAAGAAAAACCCTAAGCATTGAGTCTCTAATGAACTTCCCTGGTAGACAACATTTCACACGTTGTCGAAACTGATTGCTACACAAAAACTAACTCAAAATGGATCAAAGACCTAAATATAAAATCTAAAACGATAAAGATCATGGAAGAAAAAATAGGGACAACACTAGGAGCCCTAATACATGGCATAAACAGAATATAAACTATAAGTGACAATGCACAAACACCAGAAGAGGAACTAGATAACTGGGAGCTCCTAAAACTCAAACACTTATGCTCATCAAAAGATTTCACCAAAAGAGTAAAAAGACAACCTACAAAGGATTTTTGGCTACGACAAATCCAATCAGCGTCTAATCTCTAAAATCTACAAGATACTGCAAAACCTCAACAACAAAAAGACAAATAACCCCATTAAAAAATGGGCAAAGGACATGAACAGGCACTTTGCCAAAGAAGACATTCAGGCGGCTAAGAGACACATGAGGAAATGCTCATGACCATCAGCCATTAGAGAAATGCAAATCAAAACTACAATAAGATACCATCTCACCCCAACAAGGCCAGCTTTAATCCAAAAAATTCAAAATAATAAATGCTGAAGAGGTTGTGGAGAGACTAGAACACTTATACACTGTTGGCGGGAACGTAAAATGGTACAACCACTTCAGAAATCGATTTGGCGCTTCCTTAAAAAGCTAGAACTAGAAGTACCATATGATCCAGCAATCTCACTCCTTGGAATATATCCTAAAGAATTAAGACCTGTCACGTGAATACATATATGCATATCCATGTTCATTACAGCACTGTTCATGATAGTAAAAAGATGGAAACAACCTAGGTGTCCATCAACAGACGAACGGATAAACAAATCATGGTACATTCGCACAACGGAACACTACACATGATAAAGAACAATGATGAATCTGTGAAACATAACATGGAAGAATCTGGAAGGCATTATACTAAGTGAATTTAGTCAGTCGCGGAAGGACAAATATTGTATAAGACCAGTATTATAAGAACTCAAGAAAAGGTTTAAACACTGAAGAAAACATTCTTTGATAGTTATGAAGGTGGGGAGGGAGGAAGAGGGGTATTCACTAACTAGACAGTAGACAAGAATTATCTTAGGTGAAGGGAAGGACAACACACAATACAGGGTAAGTCAGCACAACTGGGCTAAACCAAAGCTAAGAAGTTTCCTGAATACAACCAAACACTCTGAGGGATAGAGTAGCAGGGGTAGATGTCTGGGGACCATGGTTTCGGGGGACATTTAGGTCAACTGGCATAACAAAGTTTACTAAGAAAATGTTCTGTATCCCACTTTGGTGAGCGGCATCTGGGTTCTTAAAAGCTAGCAAGTGGCCATCTAAGATGCATCAACTGGTCCCAACCCACCTGGAGCAAAGGAGAATGAATAACACCAAAGACACAAGGAAAGTATTAGCCCAAGAGACAGAAAGAGCCACAGAAATCAGAGACTCCATCAGCCTGACTAGATGGTGCCTGTCTACCACAAACACTGCCCTGACAGGGAACACCACAGACAGTCCCTGACAGAGCAGGAGAAAAGTGGTATGCAGAACCTAAATTCTAGTAAAAAGATCAGACTTAATGGTTTCATTGAGACTGGAGGGACCCCAGAAGACATGGCCCCAAGACTCTCTTTTAGTCTAAAACTAAAACCACTCCTGAGGCCAACTCTTCAGACAAACATTAGACTGGACCATGGGACATAAAATGATACTCATGAAAAGTATGCTTCTTAGCTCAAGTAGATACATGAGACTGAATAGGCAGCTCCTGTCCAGAGGCAAGATGAGGAGGCAGAGAGGGTCAGGAGTTGGTTGAATGGACGCAGGAAATCCGGGGTGGAAAGGAGTGTGCTGTCATAGTATAGGGAGAGCAACTAGGGTCACATAACAGTGTATGTATAAATTTTTGTATGAGAGACTAACTTGAACTATAAACTTTCACTTAAAGTACAACAATTAAAAAAAAAAAGATTGCTAGAGGAATTAAGCACATCCTGTGTGAGTCCACCCGGAAGAGACTCTTGGAAGTTTGCATCTCGTTTTCCCAGATTTTTCACTATGTACCTTTTCCCTTTGCTGATTTTGCTTTGTATACTTTTGCTGTAATACATTTTAGTCATGAGTATAACAATATGCTGAGTACTCCTAGCAAATCACTGAACCTAGGGGTGGTATTGGGGATGACCAACACAGGACCTAACTACTTAATGAACTTTAGGTATTTCTTTTGAACTGAGACACTAAGGGTGCTGTGAACCAATTAAGTCTGGCTGTCTCTGATTATTACCAGTACTCTATTAATTATAAAAAACTTTAAATATGCCTTAAGTCTAGTAGTCATTACATTTCTTTTTCAGAATTTGTGAATATATCCATACCTGCTTGTTCTTTCAGGGTAATCTGGAAAAAGACCGGAGCAAAGAAAAAGCTTCCTCCTTTTTAATGCTGAATTAAAATGCATTAATAATATAAATTAATTTTGATTTGGGAAAAATCAATATCTTTCAATATTAAGTATTCTCATTCATCAACATAATGTATTCCTCCATTTAGTCAAGTCCCTCTTTACATGTCAATCATAGAATTTTTAAACTAGAAGTAAAAGAAAAAGATTGTTTGGCCCAGTCGCCTCATTTTAATTTGAGGATAACTGAAGATAATTTTACAATTATTTAGTGGCACAATAAGTACTAAAATTCTGGTTTCCTAGCTTCTAGTCCAACCACCATTGTAGTATATGTTATACGTCTATATCTGTAGCAATTTAACGATACTTGTTGTTGTTAGGTGGCGTCGAGTTGGTTCATACTCTTAACAACCCATGCACAACAAAACACTGCTCAGTCCTGCGCCATCCTCACAATTGTTGCTACATTTGAGCCCATTGTTGCAAGCCACTGTGTAAATCCACCTCCTTAAGGGTCTTCCTCTCTTTCGCTGACCATCTACTTTACCTAACATGATGTCCTCTCCAGGGACTAGTTCCTCTGTAACACGTTCAAAGCAAGCAAGACTAAGTCTCACCATCCTTGCTTCTAAGGAGCATTCTGGCTGTACTTCTTGCAAGACAGATTTGTTCATTCTTCTGGCAATCTATGGTATAGTCAATTTTCTTCACCAACACTATAATTCAAAGGTATCAATTCTTCCTCAGTCTTCCTTATTCATTGTCCAGTTTTCACATGCATATGAAGTGACTGAAAATACCATGGGTTGGGTCAGGTGCACCTTAGCCCTCAAGGTGACATCTTTGCTTTTTAGCACTGTACAGAGGTCTTTTGCAGCAGATTTGCCCATCTATACTCATTAATGTCTATACTTATTAAGCACCCTAAAATGTGTAGGGCACTTAGTGATGGGCAATGAAAGAAAAGCAAGATCTAAGCAGTTTTCTTACCTGATGAATGAACTCATCTCTTTGGTCCATTATTATTTTCTTAGGAGGTCCATATAAGAAAAATATATTGCTAATAGCTTTAGAAATTTCGGATACTGAAACATCACATAGAGGCAAAATCACAACCCATTTTGTGAACAAATCTGTCATAATTATAGCATATACATGACTTCTGTTGCTTGTGTGAAAAGGTCCCATCAGATCAACAGTAACTACACTCCATGGATTTTCCACTTTCAGAAGGTGCTGTTTAGGCGTTAAAATAACTGTATTTTTTGCCACTTGGCAATGCTGACAAGCATACACCTACAAAATAGGCACATAATAAAGATAAAATATAGAAATGTTAATATATTCAAAACAACAGAAGTAATATTATAAATCTGAATTTTAAAATGGTTAATAGGTACTCTGTTTTGAAGGAGAAGCTTCTGGACTTAAAACAGTTCATTTAGGTAGGCTGTCTATTCAGAATGAAAAGCAAATACTACTATTAAATAACAATCCTAGGGGTCTTATTCACATGAATATAATTCTAGTTCACATTCAACAAATATTAAATAAATAGATTTTAAAATAAGTTTGCTATAATTTTGAAATCAGTATGTGAAAATACAATAATTACTTTATGCAAGACATTTTTTCTTTCCAAGTTATCACTCTAAGAAGTTAATTCATCCATCTATTCCAACAATATTTATTAAAATATAATGCTATTCAAACGATATTTATAGATGCCAGAGATTGCTCTAGGTCCTAGCAAAAGAGAATGAACAAAAACAAAGCTGTCATGGAGCTTTCATTTGAGTAAGGGGAGAAGTGATCAACTAATCAACTTATTGGTGGTGCCACTGATCAATATAGTTCTAGAATCTTTGGAAACTACTTTCAAACCAAATTCTGTACAAAATGTTTAAAACCATCTTATTACATTATAGTCACATTTACTTTTTTTTTTTCCTTTAAATTGTACTTCAGGTGAAGGCTTACAGAACAAATAGTTTCTCATGAAACAGTAGTACACATATTGTTTTATATCATTGGTTAACAACCCCACAACATGTCAACCCTCTCCCTTCTCGACTTTTTTTTTTTTTGGTGAAAATATACATAGCCAAAGATACACCATTTCAAAAATTTCTACATGCACAGTTCAGTGACATCGACTACGCTCCTCCAATTGTGCTGCTATTCTCACTTTAGATGAAGGCTTACAGAACAAAATAGTTTCTCACTTAACAGTTAGTACACATTGCCCTATGACAATGGTTAACAACCTCACAACACATCAACACTATCCTTACTCAACCTTGGGTTCCCTATCACCAGCTTTCCTGTCCCCTTCTGCCTTCTGACCCTTGTCCCTGGATTGCTGTACCTCATTAGTCCCATTTGGTTTTATGGGGCTGTCCACTCCCCGGCTAAACGGTGAACCTCAGAAATGACTTCACCGCTGAGCTAAAAGGGTGTCTGGGGGCCATACTCTCAGGGTTAGTTACAGTTACTTTTTATCAAAATTTTTGTTTTCCAACTTATTCACTAGTTTTCAACCCAAATAACTTCAGATTCTTTCCAAAAGTTATATCCATTCTCAAATGATAAACATCTGGTAAAATTTTCACTGAACGTTTATAAAAGAATGTGTGGCAGGTTCTGAAGGCAAATCCAAATATAGAGGTCTTTGGAATACCCGCACAGAATCATAAACTGATAACTCACAAATGATACTTAAATGTTGGTTTAATCCTTTAAGGCTAAAATGTCAGTTTTTGTGATGCACTATTACATGTATATACCAAGGAATTTCTACCATTTGGCAAACAGAGTACACCAGAAAGAGTAGGGATAAATTGACCTGCAAAACCCTGGGTGAGTTTTCTATTAGAAGCTGAAGGTTCAAACAGGTTATAAAGTTATAAAAATAAGACTAATTCCTTTATCATTACAACTTGATTTTTTATTTAGCTGGTTTTGGATTTCTGCCATACCTGACATTTTCTACCAAAAGATAGAGTTGGCACAAAAGATGAGAGCATACACTAGGCCTGACTTGGACTGCAATCAAAGATGTAATGATTTAGTCAAATGAATTTCAGCCCCATTTAAATTCTACCTACACCAAAGAGCTCAACAATGAAAAGCTGGTTCTAAATAATTTGCTATCTAAATCTGGTATTTTAAAATGTTTAAATAATACTTCTTTCTAGTTCAAATTATACTTTAGTGATATTAATGAAAAATTATGAAGTGAAATAAAACTCCCTCTAAATGTTTCTGTATAAAAAATACCCATACGAAAAGTACTTAATGAGAGGTAACACCCTGAGTAAATCTGTAGCAAAAATGAATTGTGGATATCTATTACAAACACATTATTCAAAATATTCTAAATACATAAGCCATACCCAGTGTTTGACATCATTGGTCACAGAAGTCCAATAGTAGCTGGATTCCACTAGAGTGAGGGTTCTGGATATGCCATGATGGATTCCAGTGTCATTTTCATGGCATTCTCTCAGGACTTTCTTTTTTTCCTCTTCTGAAACAATTACCAAACGATTTTGTTTTCTGTCTTTTCCAACATAAAACAGCTTTTTTTCTGGAATAAATGATACCAAAAAGATAGAATTGGAATTTTCAGTTATTTATAAAGTTTTAAGATAATCATTACCTTATCTGCAAGCCATGCTTTTTGTTTTTTAAAAAAACTTTTCTTCCCCTAAAACAGAATATCTCTTTGTAATGATGCTACCATACAATCTGAAAAGTTCTCCGTTGTTACAAGTACTAGATATCTAGGAAGATCACTAGCTGCTATAATTTTACTAGTTATGAATACAAGTAGAGTTGGGTTGTTCACTAAAGCATGCAGTAACTACACCCGTTAAAACTCGTTACTGTTGAGTCGACTCTGACTTATAGTGACCCTATAGGACAGAGAAGAACTGCTCCATAGGGTTTCCAAGGAGCAGCTGGTGGATTTGAACTGCTGATCTTTTGGTTAGCAGCCATAGCACGCCATAGTTCTTAACTACTGTGCCACCAGGGCCCCTGCAATAACTATGGGAGTATGAAATTATCTTTGTTGAGTACTCAAATTGGAATAATACTTGCAGGTGCCTCCTAAAAATGGCATGAATTAGCAAATGAATTACTTACAGAGAAGCAACACCCTGGAACAGAATTTTCCCAAATAGTTTCATCACAGGTACATTTTTTAAAGCAACCACCTCCCCCAAGTTCTTCTGGATCTGAGCTGGAGGTGCGGAAGGAAGAGTGGGAAAGTGGGAGAGCCTTAATCCTCAAGATAGTTTTTTGCTTTCCTTGGGAGGACACCTGAGAAGAATCTATAGCTAGGAAGCAACCAGGAAGTGGAAAGAACCACCACCCCTCCAATGTAGATGAGGCAGCTATTCAAACTTCAGAATATCCCATATCAAGCTACTAGTGTGCCTAACCACATGCTTAGTGGAACTCTGCTTACTTCAACCTTATCTATTTTACTCATCAATGTATCTCCAAGGCCTAGAATGTGATTGGTGTGTAGCAAGGACTCAGTAAACATTTATTGCATAACTGAGTAAATGAATGAATGACTCCTCACTTTAGTCTAAGAGGTAATAAGTCTGCTTATTCTTTGGCAGAAGGGAGTTACTGGGACAAGTGTACACAGGGAGAAATGAACAGGCATGTCTCATCTTAAATTTTCCTGACCTGCTTTGGAGAAACCTTCCTTAGAACCTATAGGCAAAACTCCCAATAATGGCACCAACATTCATTTAGTTACCTGTGATTGCACTTGCACCAACATTCATTTAGTTACCTGTGATTGTACTTGCTGCTTATCTCACCCCAAACTTCTTCTCCTTTGAAGGAGGGATAAAAAGGGCAAAATATTAACATAACCTTTCAAGATATGCATTCTACCACCTTTCAAATATTCCATTTAGGGGGACTTAGGGTCCAAAAATAAATGTGATTCTAAGAATATTTAATGGCAGTGGGAAGACAGACTATAGACATAAATATAGTCATTCCTTCTATTTTAACTTCAGTAAACAAATTAGTTAACTTTTCAATATTTTCATATTAAGCATCAAATCAGTTTCTCATTAATAGTGGCATCAGTGAATTAAAGTACACCATTAGAGTAGGAACCACCTCAGTTTGCAAAAGCAAGGGAATTTAACTTAGCTAAGTGTTTTGTTTCCTTTCATGGTACCATTATTTTTATGATTTAAACTGCCCTTTCCATACTTCTGGCCTTCAGTTAGCTTCAGTGTAATTTTTATTTTGCTTTTGACTGAGTGGCATCATCAGTTTTACTATTAAATGTTAAGCAACAACCGATCTGTCTTAGTCATCTAGTGCTGCTACAACAGAAATACCACAAGTGGATGGCTTTAACAAAGAGAAATTTCTTCACAGTAAAGTAGGCTAAAAGTCCAAATTCAGGGCATCAGCTCCAGCGGAAGGCTCTCTCTGTCAGCCTTCTCATCAACGTTCCCCTGTACTAGGAGCTTCTAGGCGCAGGGACCCCAGGTCCAAAGGGCACGCTCTACTCCTGGCACTGCTTTCTTGGTGGTATGAGGTCCTCCTGTCTCTCTGCTCACTTCTCTCTTTTATATCTCAAGAGATTGCCTCAGGACACAATCCAATCCTGTAGATTGAGTCCTGCCTTACTAGCATAACTGCCACCCATCCTCCCTCATTAACATCATAGAAGCAGGATTTACAACATATAGGAGAATCACACAATACCAGGAATCATGGCCCAGCCAAATTGATACACACATTTTTGGGGGGACATAATTTAATCCATGACACAATCCAATAATCCAAATGCTCAGGATTTCACAAAAAAAACGTGGAGAAGCATCTGTATTAATTCTATACTCAAGGTTTTCTACATTAATTTTACCTTTAAAGACAAATTTTTTTGCTGCTCTTCTTATGCCACTTCTCTCACTTGGCAGTGTAGTTGGATGATATTCACCAGTTCGTTTATAATATGCAATCTGCTTAAGATGAAGGTCACCATTTTTTCCACTACGGACCATCCTTAACCTAGGTAAAGGCGTTTAAAAATAGAATTTGAATTAGCTAATTTGTTGCTATTTCAGTTCAGGCTTCCGCTTAGATATGACATTAGGTTTCCCAGAATATTATCTGAGGGGGTTAATTGTAGTACAGAAAAGGAATAGAGTGATGCATATGAGCTGAAATAGTCAAATGCTATTTTTGAGATACATCATGATGAATTATCTTGTTTCTTTCCATGTGAAAAGAAATGCTAAAAAATTTCCACATACTGGGGGAAAAAAAGGAAATGAACAAGTACCCTTTGAAAAATCTTCTTAAAGTCTCTCCCACTGCCATCAATCGCAATGTTACTTACATAGGATGGTCCTGTTACGTGAAGCTTACATAAATGATGATAAGTTATAAGGGGAGAAAATACAATTTATATTACTACTAACCATATTCACGGTCACTGCAAAATGCAAAAAAAAACAAAAAAAAACAAAAAACAAAACCCCAAACCCAATAACTATTCAAATCATATATGAGAAATACATACTTCAGAAATGTTCAAATGACAAATAACAGAAAAGATGTCTAGCTATGCCAGATCTCATACACCCTTCTTAACTATACAGGAGCTATTCTTTCTTGAACAGGAATGTTTTTTGGCCCTGTGAATACTTTCTCTATTATAAAGCATAATCTGGTTGCAGATTTTTATTCTACAAAGTCTGTTCTGCAACAATGTGGAAGATAGATTGGGGTGGCAAGGTGGGAGGGTCAGTCCAGATCAGCTAGAGAACTACTGCATAATCAAGGGAAGAATGATAAAATCGGAGTCAAAGGAGTGTCAATGGAAATGGATAAATTTTGTAAAAATTGTGACTAGTCTGCTGGACTTCTAGAGTGAATGAAGAGTCTGGGATTACTTCTGAAGTTTTACCTTTGGGTGAAGAAGCCAGTATTGAATATGTTGCATTGAGCTCATGGATGAACTCAGTATGTAGATGGTAAATGAAGTTAAGGCAGTGGAAGAAGAATCACATGGAAAGTGTAGAGTAAGAAGAGTGGCCACAGCCTTGTCCTTCAACATTCACATTAATGAATTCACTCATCTACTCATCTTTTCTAACCACATCTCCTTCCCTCTCAGGTCATTGCACACACCTTCCTTGGTATACCACAATAACATGTACTGACTTTTACCATAAAATCTGCAACACTTTATTGCACTTACTAGTTTATATGTCTCTCTTCCAAATATACTGTAAATTCCTCAAGGGTGTGGGAATAGAGAAATAGGGGGGAAAAAAAAGCAATAGAGGTTCTGGCCACAGAAGCATAAGTAATAAACAGTTCTTAGAAGTAAAGAGACGTTAAGTAATACAAGAACTATAATGTCTCAGGTGGTTTTGACAGTAGGTGCAGGAGAGCAGGGCAGGTGGAAACCAGACTGCAATGGGATCTGCGTGAACAAGTATTGAGAAAGCAGATGTAGTAAATTTAGCTTAGCTGTGAAGGCAAGGAACTACAGGACAGTTGCTAGAGACAGCTATGGATTCATTACTGATCTAACAGTTATTACTGTACGCCTGCCATGTGTCAAAAAACCCTTTCTTTTCTCAAAATCTTTATCTACAAAGATAAAGATTTCGTTGTAGATAACGATTTTGAGATCTCTTTCATTAATTGTGGTTAATGTTTTACACTAATGTTTATTTATAATATTTTACTGCTAACACCGAAGCCCAGATGACATAAGTTGTATACTTTATAGTGAGTTTATAGTCTTGTGCAATTCACAATGCTGGCCCTGCCCGCAGAGATAAAGATGACTGTAGAGAGGGTGAGAGAAATAGAAAATCAATCAGAAAGAAAAACCAATTCACAGAAAGCATAAAGGGTTTAGGTAAACATTTGCTGCTAATATTTGCTATTTACATACAGGAAGAGCTTAAACAACCAGCAGTTTTTTCTTTTCAAAGTATATTTGCAAGCTGGTCGCTAGAAACCATTTATTTGAGTAGTTAATATGAGAAAATGGCTTTAAGCTGTAATATTCAGAAACAAAGGTAAATTATAAAAAGCTTCCTATACTCAAAGATTGGACATCATAATTTTTTCCAGAATTTTTGTTAAAGTAATTATTTGTGTATTAAAACCTGTAAAAGTAAGAAAAGGTAGTGGAGGTAGCAATTATAACTTCTAGTTTTGCAATGAGAATGTCAGAGTTATATTTGGTTGACCTTTTTGCACTATGTTCCTTGCACAACATCAAATAAAATCAACAGATACCTGCATAAATATTTATTGCCTAATTCCTCTGATAATTTTGTGTGTGCAATAAAATAAGGAAGTTCAGTATTTTAAGTAAAATTAGGATCTGTTTCACCAAAAGCGAAAATCATCAAGGTTACCAATTTAAGCCTGGAAGAAGTTAACAGTATGCACGTGTTTCAACTTAAAACTTAAACCTGTAATCTTTTAACAAACATGTTAACTTGGGATCAAATTTTGACTTTTAAATTTTTCTATCTTAATTTGTGAAAGGGGTTCGAATCCACCAGCAGCTGCACGGGACAAAGATGTGGCAGTCTGCTTTCCAAAGCTTTATAGCCTTGGAAACACTGTAGGGTAGTTCTACTCTGCCCTACGGGGTCACTATGAGTCGGAATCGATTGGATGACAACAGGTTTGGTTTCCTAATCTCTGAAAAATGGAAGTGCACAATTTCATGCAACGTTGTTAAAGGCTGGGGAAATCTACACCATACACATTCCTATAACCTGCTTCATTTCAGCGTACAAATTTAATAAAAATGTCTTGCCTACCATTAGGTATACACATAAAGCCACATGGAATAAATAAATTTCCATTTTGCAGAATGCTTTTCCACTTTGGCTCAAAAATGTCCATTTAAGGAAAACCCGCACTGCTGATAAAGTGTATACTTTTCCTTTAAAAATACGTGACAAGATACCCTTTGAGTTCGCATTTGAACAAAAGGGTAATATTCTAGATTAAATGGCAACTATAACGGGGAGAATTCTTTAACGTTGGTCAAGCACCACACTAAATTTTGAATTTGTGCCGCGCTCGGAGTCTCGGGCGCTGCTTTAGATGTGAGGGAGTATTTCCTGAGGGTTTAGGCGGCTGGTTAACTGGTTCTTGAAGACAAGGTCCAGTTAAACTTAGTATAACCACGAAAAAGATCATTAAGTACAATCGGTTATACCGAGCAGCACCTCCCAGGTTTGACAACAGAACCCGCCCTTCTCTGCTCAGCTCGCGAGGGACGTCGCAACGCCCAAGGCCCTCCCGCTCCAAGAGCGCCTGCGCAATCTACGGAGTCAATTAAACCCTTCCTTAGGCCAGTCGAAGCGAATAGTTTTGAAATTATTATCAAGTCACGCTTCACGTTAAGAATCAGTAGGTATAACAGCACATCAAAACGACCACTCACCAAGGTGGTCCTTTACGCAAACGACAGGATTTAAGCTTCCTCTCGCGACTTATCTAGTGCTGCCGGAAGCGGAACTAGCCGGATTGTTAAGGGAAGCGTGCCTCCGCGGACTGCGGAGCGTTGGTGAGGAAAGGTTAGGGCGGATCGTTTGGCTCTTGCCGGAAATCATTCTGCCCGGTGAGGTTTCTGAGTGAGACCTGAGGGTGGAGGAGAAGAGGCGTGACCGAGATTCGTTGTGTGAAGTAGTTCCTTGAGGCGTTTCTATGTGGCTGTTCAGCTGCTGCTGAGAAGGAAAGGACCCACGCTCGCACTAACAGTCTTTTGACGAACACCTTTTGCCTCAGTCTGCCCCCGGGATTAAAGGGGAAACCGAGACCTGAATGGGCTTGGCCATCTCCAGTAGCTCGCGTGACGACCGCAGTCGTGGCAGGTGAGAGCCCCGAGACCGGAGGAAAACGTGGGATGCGGAACTTGGTCGCTCGAGGGGTGCGGACGCTGCTGAGTAGTTGCTTTGTCTCTTGCTGCACTCTGCTGAGCCTAGGCGCGCGCTCCTACGAGGGACATGTGCGGAAGTGAATGGCAGTGTGGTCGGGGAGGAGTGACAGTACAGTTCTGAGGGTCCCTTTCGCTTCTTGACTTACATTTCTCCTCCTTCCCCATTGTTTCCCTTTTTCATTTCTTGGGCTTGTGACATCGGAGATTTCAGTTCTGCGGGAAGGGAACTGCCGGTCTTCTGTTACTCTAACCTGCTTTCTCGCTCCATCAAAGTGGGCAGCCTCGAGTTTGGGAATTGCTGTGGGTAGGGATGGTTATTTTTATTTTCTTTCCTTAGTCTTTATCCTACTACTGGTCGCCACCGCCATTGCCACTTTAAAAGAACAAAAAGCCCCATACGATGCAACTTCACATAGTACAGATGGAGGCTGCAGATCACTGTCGCACCTCATCGGTTGAGGGATGTTGCATCCTCGCGCGCTTTGAGGGAGAAGGGGCAAGGATGGTGACCACTGGATCTCATTCACTAGGTTCTCGACGATCTTCTGGGAGTCTGTGGGTAATAGTTGCCTTGCTTTAGCATGGTGGAAGGCTAAGCTGGTGGAAGTAGGAAGCATGGTTGACTTGAGCACCTAGCATTCTTGCTCTACAGTGGGACAGGATTTTGCTGCTGAAAATTCTGGAGCCCGGTTGGCGCAGTAGTAAAGAACTAGGCTGCTAATCAAAAGGTTGGCAGTTCAAATCCACCAGCCACTCCTTGGAAACCCTATGGGGCATTTCTAATTAATCCTATAAGGTCGCTTTGAGTCAGAATCGACTTTACCGCAACTGGTAACTGAAAATTCTTCAGTGAAATACCCAGTTTTTGTCTCAGGCAGATAAAATAATGATAGCTGACGTTAACTGAGTCCTTGCGTGTGCCAAGTGCTTTACAAATTTTCTCATTCAGTCCTCCCAACAATTCCATGAGGTAGATAAGATTTCAACATTTTACAGAGGTAGAAACAGGCTTAGGTTAACTCGGCCAAGTTAGCCAGCTACTACTAAACCTTTAAGACTGTGTTAGAAGCCAGATCTGTCTGACTCGTAAACCTGTATCCTTAACTATTATACTACTGTCATGCTTCCCCATTTCCTCACTAACGTTTTCAGTGGCTGAAAGATTCATTCATTAAAAACTGTTTGTGTCCCAACTTATGTGTTTGACAAAAGACAGGCATAGACATGATCCCTGTATTCAGAGAACTTCAGTATTGTGATGCAGAATTAAGTTGTTCAGATTCCAAAATACTAGCTGCAGCATTGGATTGTTTAAAGCAAATGATTAAACTGATGTGCAGAAGGTTCAGGATTGTCCAACTTAAGTTTTAAATTCATATGATTTTCAGGGTGGTTGTTGCAAGGGTATTAAAGTGAACAATTTGTCCAATATTCACTGATAGCCCAAATAAGTGCCATGCACCAAGTTAAATACTGGGGATATACAGATGATGATCTTGCTCTCCAAAAAGCTCCTGTGCAACTGAATAAATATAGAATATTATGGAGCTAATAATTTTCTTAGGTGTAAATAATAATATGGGTATTTTTATTTAAGGGATACTATTTAGAGATGAGTGTTGATGTCTACAGCTTACTTTCAAATGGTGTGGAAGACACATAGGTAAAATAAATATGGCAAAATGTTGGCAATTGTTGAGTCTACTGGTGGGTATGAGTGTTCAGTGAATTGTTCTTTAAATTGTTCTAAATGTTTGAAAATTTTCATAATAAAAAAATTGAGAAAAAAAATAACTCTGATGGAAATAGATAATTGTGAAGATGGATCCAAAATGCTGTGGAGCACCAAGGATGGGAGAGGGTTTTGATATGTGTTTGGGAGCTGGCAAAGGGGAGAGAGTTATCAGAAAAGGAGTCATTGCAGACCTTACAGTTTGTTATTGAAGGAGGAGTACATTCAAGGATAGTAGTGAATTCCAGACAGAAGGAAAGTCAGGCTCAGCAAAAAGGTATTGTGCAAACGTTTGAAGAAGGAGAAGAATCATTGTGAAGGTTGTGTGGAACTTGGAATGTACTTTTCTGTATAAATAATTTTGCAAGCCTGTAGGAGCCTGTTTAATAACCTATTATGTAGCTGTTCTAGCAGTGCCCTGGAACTGAGCCACCATTTATTGACAGTGTTTCCATTGGAAAATACTTCTAGGATTTCAGTAAAACTGTTTATGTATCTGTGTTCAGGCTGTGTCTCCCATTTCCTCAGATATTGGGAGCAGGCACTTTTTAGTTCTAGTTCATCGTTGGACTCCTGAGGGAGCCTATAGAAAGGACTACAATGATGGCTTGGAAAGATTTTAAGTTTAGGTAAAACCAGTTAACCAGTTGCCTTTGAGTCGATTCCCACTCATGGTGACCCCGTGTGTGTCAGGACAGAACTGTGCTCCATAGTGTTTTCCATGGCCGATTTTTTGGAAGTAGATCACCAGGCCTTTCTTCCAAGGCACCTCTGGGTGGATATGAACCTTTGGTTCATTAACCATTTACACCCCCCAGGGATTCCTAAGTTCAGGCAAGAAGGACTCTAAATAGTAAATGAGACTGGTGGGTGATCCAAGGTATCATTTTGAGAACTAGGTAGTTTTGGGCAAGGCCAGTAAGGGTGTGAAGGATATGATTATTTGTCCCAGGCTTTAGTGTCCATGATAGCTACTTTCAAGCAGTGTGGGAAAACTGGAAAAGATACGACCAGCAGCAGCAGTGGTAAAGAGGAGTTTCCGTGTCTTCATTAGATGAACAGTAAGTAGGTATATTTGCTCTTTGCCAGTTAAGTTTAGATTGGAAATATCTGTCTTACTTATAACGGCTAACAAAATATATAAACAGCTAACATTTACTGAGTATTTACCAAGTGTTAGTTGCTGTGTTACCTGTATTGTCATTTAATCTTCAAAACAATATGTCGTATCTGTGATACCATTTTACAGATGATTGCTAGAGAGTTTCAATGAGTTGGTTAAGGACACAAATCCGAGCAACAGCCAAAGCCAGTTTTGTTTCTTAGAGTCTAATTCACAGACCATAAACATCAGCATCACCTTGGCACTTTTAGAAATGCTAGGTGTTGGCCCTCACCCCTAGAGTTTCTAGTTTAGTAGTTTAGCTGTCCCTCCAGGTGGTTCTGATGCATGCTAAAGTTTGAGAACCACTGCTGTAGAGTGTGGGAACTTTAGTAGCGTAGTACTAATTTTAAATTTAGAAATCAGGGTCAGATAGTGTTTCTTTTTTGTATCAATTTAAAGAGATTCACAAACTTTGCTGCATTTCTATTTGTTAAAATAGGGATTCTCTAGTTAAAAAATGCTGATTCAGAAAATGTGTGGTAGGTCCAGAAATTTGTTTTCTTACAAGTGCCCTAGATAATTGTGGTATGTTGTTGTTGTTAGATGCCATCAAGTCAGTTCTAACTCAGAGACCCTGTGTACAACAGAACAGCACACTGCCGGGTCCTGCACAATCCTCATAATCGTTGTTATGCTTAATTACATTGTTGCTGTGTTAAGACATCTCATTCAGGGTCTTTTTTGCTTACTCTTTACTTTACCAAGCATGGTGTCCTTCTCCAGGGACTGGTCCCTCCTAATAACATGTCCCAAGTACATGAGATGAAGTCTTGCCATTCTTGCTTCTAAGGAGCATTCTGGCTCTACTTCTTCCAAGACAGATGTGTTCGTTCTTCTGATAGTCCATGGTATGTTCAATATTCCTCACTAACACTGTAATTAAAATGTATTAGTTGTTCGTTGGTCTTCTTTATTCGTTGTCCAGCTTTCTCATGCATATGAGGTGATTGAAAACACAATGGCTTGGGTCAGGTGCACCTTAGTCCTTAAAATGACATCTTTGCTTTTTAACACTTGAAAGAGGTCTTTTGCAGCACATTTGCCCAGTGCAACGCATCCTTTGATTTCTTGACTGCTGTTTCCATGGGCATTGATTGTGGATCCAAGTAAAATGAAATCCTTGACAACTTCAGTCTTTTCTCCATTTATCATGATATTGCTTATTGGTCCATTTCTGAGGATTTTTGTTTTCTGTATGTTGAGGTGTAATCCATACTAAAGGCTGTAGTCTGATCTTCATCAATAAGTGCTTCAAGCCCTCTTCACTTTCAGCAACCAAGGTTGTGTCATCTGCATATCACAGGTTGTTAATGAGTCTTCCTCCAGTCCTGATACCAAGTTCTTCATGTAGTCCAGCTTCTCAGATTATTTGCTCAGCATACAAATTGAGTAAGTATGGTGAAAGGATACAACCCTGATGCACACCTTTCCTGATTTTAACCCATACAGTATCCCCTTCTTCTGTTCAAATGACTGCCTCTTGGTATATGTACAGGTTCCACATGAGCACAATTAAGTGTTCTGGAATTCCCATTCTTCGTAATGTTATCCGTAATTGTTATGATTGACACGGTCGAATGCCTCTGTGTAGTCAATAAAACATGTTTCTGTTATTCTCTGCTTTCAGCCGAGATCCATATGACATCAGCACTGATGTCTCTCATTTCGTGTCGTCTTCTAAATCCAGTTGAATTTCTGGCAGTTCCCTGTTGATGTACTGCTGCAACTGCTTTTGAATATTCTTCAGCAAAAATTTACTTGTGTGTGATTTTAATGATATTGTTAAATAATTTCTGCATTCTATTGGATCACCTTTGTTTGGAATGGGTACAAATATGAATCTCTTCATTTGGTTGGCCAGGTAGCTATCGTCCAGATTTCTTGGCATAGACGCATGAGCACTTCCAGTGTTGCGTCCGTTTGTTGAAACATCTCAGTTGGTATTACATCAATTTCTGGAGCATTGTTTTTCACCAGTACCTTCAGTGCAGCTTGGACTTCTTCCTTCGGTACCATCAGTTCTTGATCATATGCTACCTCCAGAAATGGTTAAATGTCAACCAATTCTTTTTGGTACAGTGACTCTGTGTATTCCTTCTATCTTCTTTTGATGCTTTCTGCGTCATTCAATATTTTGCCCATAGAATCCTTCACAATTGCAACTTGAGACTTGAATTTTTTTTTCAGTTCTTTCAGCTTGAGAAATGCCCAGTGTGTTCTTCCCTTTTTGGTTGCTAACTCCAGATATTTGCACAATTCATTATAATATTTTACTTTGTCTTCTCGACCTGCCCTTTAAAATCTTCTGTTCAGCCTTTTACTTCATTATTTCTTCCGTTTGCGTTAGCTACTCTGCATTCAAGAGCAAGTTTCAAAGTCTCTTCTGACATGCATTTTGATCTTTTCTTTCCTGTCTTTTTAATGACCTTTTACTTTCTTCATGTATGATTTCCTTTATGTCTTCCTACAGCTTGTCTGGTCTTCAGTCATTAGTGTTTAGTACATCGAATCTGTTCTTGAGATGGTCTCTAAATTCAGGTGGGATATACTCCGGGTTGTATTTTGGCTCTTGTGGACTTGTTTTAATTTTCTTCAGCTTCACCTTGAACTTGCGTATGAGCAACTGATTCTGATATAACCAGTCCATTTGTGAACCACTGTTATAGAAGGAATTTAAAAAATGAAATTTTGAACTCATTTGAATAATGTAATATCTTAAGATCAGACAGTTATGTGTTTTGGAATTCTTAACCAAGGACGTAGGTTTGATCAAAATGCTGAATAATGTGGAAATGCTATATGAATAAACTGCAGTTGGTTTAATTGTCAGGGAATCAAATGAAATAGACCATTTAGAATGTTCTGGTTCTGGATCTCCTATAGTTCTCTTAAGATTTTATCTTGTACCACAATATATATACCCTTTGGTGTACTCAAAAAAAATTTTTTTTTGAGCCACACTCCAGGGAGGGAGTGTGGCTCAAAAAAATATTTATTCTATATCTTTAGTTTCCCAAGAATTTATTAAAAATTTTTAATGCTGGTGACACAGTGGTTAATAGCTTGGCTGCTAACCAAAAAATCAGCAGTTCAAATCCACCAGCCACTCCTTGGAAACCCTATGGGGCAGTTCTCCTCTGTCTTATAGGATCGTTATGAATTGGAATCGACTCACTGCCAATGGGTTTGGTTTGGAATAGGAGTCCCTGGGTAGTGCAGACAGTTAACGCAGTTGGCTGCTGACTGAAAGGCTGGAAAGTCAAGTCCACACAGAGGTGCCTCAGAAGAAAGGCCTGGCAGTCTGCATCCAAAAAATCATCCATTGAAAACCTTATGGGGCACAGTTCTACTCTGACACACAAGGGGTCACCACGAGTTAGAATTGATTCGACAGCATCTGGGTTAATGCTGTAATAAGGATTTAAGGAGTTCTAAGTTTTTCTCTTGTGAGAGCGTGGTGGCCTTTGGTTAAAAAAAAGACCTGGATTTGAGTTTCATTTGCAACCCTTACTAGCTGTGTAATTATGTTCAAATTACTTGAGTTTTCTGAGCCTGGAGTCCTTATTTATAATCAACTGATGGGCCTATATCTGTGTACTTCAGGCATTTATAAAATGAGGAAAATATCCCTAATCCCAGGATTTCTGTCAGGTTAATTGTTAAATCACAAAGTAGTAACTAAGTGCTTCCCAACTGTTTTTTATTTCAGGGCATTCATAGAAAATGATTTTATCTGTGTAGTGTCCTAGGGAAACTGAAGAGATTGCTGTTGGAGGCCAGGGGGTTCCAACTGCCTTAAGACCTCAGTGAATCAATTTCTTGGCATAGTATAACTCATTCATGTTGGAGCAAAATGTTGGGAAGCTCTGAGTTGATTAAGTACTTACTGGGTGGCAGTGTTTAATACATTTTCGTTCCCTTGAGGTTTGTAATGTTTTGGGTTATAGTATTTAATGTAAACAGTTAAACATGACAAGGCAATAGGTGACCAAAGATCAAAATGAATGACACAGAGGAGAAATCTTGAACATTATTAAGGATAGTTTTGTGGAGGAACATTTATTGAGTACTTGAGATGTGTCAAGTGACAGACAGATTCAGCTTCATCAGTGTACTCTGTTTTTATTGGATCATTCCCGTGAGATATCCTGTAATAATAATATACTTTTATAACAATAGTGAATATGTGTATTTTGCATACCAAGTGCTAGTTATTGTTCTACTTTGTCCCTCTTTTTTTTGGTAGTACCCTGCTTCTCAAACTTGGCTGCACATTGGAATCACCTGGGCCCCACCCCCAAACCTTCTGATTTAATTGCTATGGATTGTGACCTTCTCAGTCCTCTGTAGATGCTTCAGCTACTTTTCCAACTTCATTTTTTACCTTTCTACCTTTGCTTGCCTGCTTTGCTGTCTTTACTATTTCTTGAACATGGGAAATATGCCACACACGCTTCTGCTTTGGGGCTTTTATGCTTTTTGTTCCTTGCCTGGAATGGTTTTACCATATAACCCTATGGCTGGTTTCCTCGGTTAATTTAGATTTCTGCTCAGATGTCACGTTTTTAGAGATGCCCTCCTAACGTACGTTGTTGTATTTTTTTTTGTTGTTGTTGATTTGCCTGTTGTCTTCCACCAAATGAATAAATGAGACATGGTTTCAAATCTAAGCTCATAACTAAGTAAGGGACATATATTTATGTACTTCAAGCAGCATTAAAGACTGAAACAGAATTTAAATAAGAGGACAGATCATTAATGATTAGTTCAGTTATTAATTCAGACTCTTGGAAAAAAACATCTATGATATACACACTTTTTCAAAAGTAAGTTTCTACATACACATATATATGTTGTATAAAGTAGCTAAAAAATGTGATCAAAAGACTAGTAGGAAATACATCCAAATAGTTTTATGACAAAGAATTACAACCAGGTAGTTCTGCTTTTGGTTCATGGGATTCTTAGCTGATTTTTAAAATTTCATATTTATACATTCCAGACTTTTCATAATGAACACTACAGTTAGAAAGCTTTTAAAAGTTAATTTTCAGTTTTACCTCTAAAACAAAATTGTTATTGCTTTTGTTAGAGTTATGTCGAAAGGCTTAAAGAACACCTAAATAGAAGGAAGTGTAATTTTAAAATAATGGCATGAAGTATAAATGCAAACGCACACATACACCAGTATCTGCACTAATATGCTGAATCTAGCATCTGCTCATTTCAACAACGTTCCAAAAATGGATAATTCGACATTTATTCCATTACCGCGTATTTGTGTTATCTATTTTATTAGTGTGCTTATCACACTAAAACAGGAAGTGCTGATTACTTGACTGTTTCCTGCTAGACCGTAAGCTTAAGGAAAAGGACCATGTTTAATTTAACTTAATATCTCTAGCACCTGTACTGCGCCTGCCAAAATAGGTAAATAGTACTTGTTGAATAAATATATTCATTTCAACAAATAATAAACAATATTCATTCTACTATACCTGCATGCATGTTAGTAGGGAGCAAGGTTTATAGTAGTGCCTCTGTAGGGTTGCTGTGAGTCAGAATCGACTCGATGGCAGTGGGCTTGGTTTTTGGTTTATAGGCGCTAAGGTTAATTGAGTACTTAGTATATGTATTACTTACCAAACACTTTACCTTACTTACACTTACTTCACTTAGTCTTTACAGAGTTACAGGGTATTACTATGCTCCCTTTTTTGTAGGTGAAGAAACTGATACCGAGAAACTAGCTTAAGTTGCTAGTTACATAGTGACAGATTTAAACAGGTATGTCTGATTCCAAAATACATGTCCTTTCCACTACTGAAATATTAGGGCTGTTTTTAGACGGGAGGAGAAATGTGGGATGGATAAAAAGAAGACAAAAGATGTTTGCCATTTGATACAAAACAGAAGAATTGAGATCAATTTATTTACTTCCAGGAAGTTGTACAGTAATTGGAAGCTTTCTTTTGTTGTTTTTCAGCCAACATCTTTTACATGTAAAACAGAGCAAGGGGAGTAGGAATGAAAGACATTGGTTTATAAAGTGAATTACTTCTACTTTCATTCTCTAATCACAAATTGTTTTAAATTTCATAACACTCTGTGAGCAAGGTAATTGTAAAGATGGGTAAACTTAAGATGGAATGAGTAAAATAGTTTTATGTTTATCTTAGCAACTCTATAGGACAGAGTAGAACTGCCCCATAGGGTTTCCAAAGAGCAGCTGGTGGATTCGAACTGCTGACCTTTTGGTTAGCAGCCAAGCTCTTAACTACTGCGCTACCAGGGCTCCTTATGTTCCATATGGAACTGCTAATTAAAGTGGCATTAGAACTTTAGGAACAGGACTCTTGAAGTTAAGCTTCCCAGTATTATCTAGCAAATTGTTCAGTATGTATTAAGAATATCTGATTGAGTAATTTCTTATATTGTGAGTAACCAAAAAAAATGTTTGATATATATTTTCATCTTGGTAAACCTAAAACGAAACCTGTTGCTGTCAAGTCAATTCTGACTCATAGTGACCCTATACAACAGAGTAGCACTGCCCCGTAGGGTTTCCAGGGAGCAGCTGGTGGATTCGAACTGTCGACCTTTTGGTTAGCAGCCGAGCTCTCAACCACTGTGCCATGAGGGCTTCAGTCATTCATTTTGGTAGATAGTTTTAATAATGACCAATTAACAAATACATGTAAGCAGCTTTGGTAACAAATATTTTGAAGTTGTATCACTGTTATGTGGTGATTATGTTCCCTGAAAAACCCCTTTGCAAGCTCATCTTGCATAAATTGAGGCTTTTAAAAAATTGATTTAATGTAATTTCAGATTGATGTTCAACTGTAAATTATTTTTAAATTTGCATTACATTTTATCTATCCTTTTCCATTCCATTCAAGTATTACAGAACTGTATGTTGAAGGGGATTAACCTTTAAGGTAATTTCCTCATAATTTGAATAATTTGCTCCTAATTTACTCAGTATTTTTGGATGGGTAGTTTCTTATTCTTTTTATCAGTTTGTCATATTGCTAAGACGTATATTACCAAAGATCAGAATCTTAATTTCTTAATTTTATGTAAGGAAAGGATTTTCATTTTGAAGGTATACATCAAATTATTGTTGTGGAATTTATTTGTGCCATTAAAATTATTTTGAATTGAATATTTTTTGAAGTACACTCTCCAAAATTAATTTTTTTTATGCATTTTAGGTAAAAAAAAAAAAAAAATTTGCTGTATCAACTCAGGGAAACAGTAGCCTTACTGTTTTTAAACTGCAGCAAGAACTTAAATATCAGCAATGAAGCAATGATATCTGAGAACAAAAGAACATTTTCCAGCTAACTGTCATCACAATTTCAAGTGATTGTATAAGCACAAACAAGCTGCAACAGACTCTGTCAGCCAGCTATCGAGAGAATGCTTTCTTCTGATGCTGTTTATTTATGAGTTTTAGTATAGATCATTTACATTATATGTATAGCAAATGAAATCAAAATGAGTGAAGCCCCTAGATTCTTTGTCGGGCCTGAAGATACTGAAGTAAATCCTGGAAATTATCGACACTTCTTCCACCATGCAGATGAAGATGATGACGACGAAGATGAGTCTGTAAGTTGTTTGGTGAGAGAAGACCAATATAGTATAGGCTTTTACTATGCATGGTTAATGTGAATTAAAACTATTATTTTAAATTGTTAACACATTTTTCACATAAGAATTTGCTGGAAATGTTTTAAACAGGAAGAGTATATTTTGGTTCATGAGTGACATTGTTGAACCTGTTATGCATCACGAAATAAAATTAGGGGTCAGACTTTAAGTTGTTTAACGATGCCTATTTTAGTCTCTTTCAGTGATATGCCTAGCATAGCAAAGGGTTAGGTAGATAAAATGACAAGGAGAAACATGGAGTAATCAGGTCCATAAATCAAAAGGGTTTCTTGTATATAAAAATATAGAACAAATACGTCAAGATAAAGAACTAGAAGGAAATAATTTTAAAGGTACTAAAGAAGGAGGTTGTTTAACCAGCTTCATTAATTTTGTCATGTTGTCAGTGCAAGTGCTGGTTGACCTGAAGATATCCCGATTTATTAATCATTTAGAAATCCACAGACTGTTTGATTAGAAGTAGATTCTACCTCAACTGTCTACATTAGTGTGTGTGTGTGTGTGTGTGTGTGTGTGTGTGTGTGTGTGTGTGTGTGTGTGTGTGTGTGTGTGTAAGTCAGCTAGTCGGTCTAAATCTCTTTCTGACGTATGGAATTTGTATCCATACTAGATCTTTAGAATTGACACACATTTATGTTCATTTAGATGCAGTTACATTAGCACCACATTTTTCTAACTCATCTTTTTTTTTTTCTTCCTTACAAATAGAAGTTGTTCTACCCTAAGAACTGATTTCAAATATAAACATAGAATATGTGTTTGTTTTTCTTACGTTTTCAATTGGAAAGAGGATTTTAGTTTAAAATAAATACCTGTTATACTTGTTAAAAGTAGTAAAAACAAAAATAACTATTAGATAATTCTTTAAATTTTTTCTGTAGTTATTTAACATCTTTCATAGTATAGTTACACATATCTGAAATGCAAATCGGACCGTCACTCTTTTGAGACTTTCAGTGCAGAGTGATTATCATGTATCTCCTGACACCTCTGTTAATAGCTTGGCTTATTCTAAAATTTCCTTCCAAGTTGTCAGTGGTGACCAGCTAATATTCAAGCTCAATCTATAAAAATAGTTTAATACTGTATAGCTTTATCGTCAGGAATAGCACCTTACTTTAGGCAAGAGAATCTTTATCTCACTCCTGTTTGCCTTTTTACTTGAATTAAATAGGATTTTGGCTGTTTTCTGGTGTGAGGAGGACAAATAAATGCTAGAAACAGTGAAATGAGGAATATTTGTTTAGGTTTTAGATTTGATTAAAAATAATACCTATATTCTGAAAGTATTTCTGTTTTTTAAAAAATGTTTAGGCCTTTGTAGAAAACTGATATTATAACATATAATTTTGATAAATGCATTTGTTGATTAATGTGTCACTTATATAGATTCAGTGCATGTCTCACTTAATTCTGGAAAAGATTAAGATAGCTATACTTTGGAGTTTGTATTAAGTCTTGATTTTTTGTTTCCTTTCTGTTTTAGCCACCGGAAAGGCAGATTGTGGTTGGAATATGTTCCATGGCAAAGAAATCCAAATCCAAACCAATGAAAGAAATTCTTGAACGAATCTCCTTATTTAAATATATCACAGTAGTAGTATTTGAAGAGGATGTTATTTTGAATGAACCAGTGGAAAATTGGCCTTTATGTGATTGTCTTATTTCGTTCCATTCTAAAGGTATTAAAGAAGAGGGGAAGCCCCTTTATCCTCTCTAATTATAAAACTAAACATGTTAATTGTAGAAAATTGTAAAAAACAGGAAAATAAAATTAAAATTACCCATAATGCTACTCTAACAGATGGGTGATATTACCATTTTGATATATTTATTTCTTTCCAGTCTTTTTTTTGGTGTGTATTTTTAAAAACAAATTCAGTGTTACAGTGTATATGTAATTTTACCTTGAGCTGTTTTCACTATTATGTATATATCAAGAATTTTTTCCCCTGCATATCATTCTTCAAAAACCTAATTTTTAATGACTGCATAGTATGTCATCATGTGGATATACTATAATCTACTTAACCAGTCTGCCAATATTTAGATGGTTTCCAGTTTTTCACTGTTAAAATAAGCTTATGATGAACTCTTTGAATGTATATCTTTGCATCTCTAAATTTCTTAGGATAAATTCTTTGAATTATTGAATATTTGTAAACCATTATGATTCTGCTGTGTAGAAAATGATCTGTCATTTCTCATATGCTTATACATATTTATACTTTATTTTTTAAGAATTTAATTGAGATTTTAGATCTTGGTATCTTTTTTTAATAAAACTTAAAAATAAATTTAGCTTAATTATTACCTCAGGGAGTTTTCACATATAAAATAGTAAAGATTATAACTAAATGTATATCTGAAAATTTATAATCTAAGAATCTGTAACTTAAGTGAATTTCACACTAACAATTAAAATTTAAAAGATGTGCTCTTACTTATAAATGTTTTAATATTTAACTCTCACCTGTTACCAAAATATCTAGTTCTGAGCTGTGTGAAAGTCTCACTCAGGTTAGTTGTTCCAGAAGATCTCCTTCAGCAAAAAAAGAATAGGGTATCGTTCAGGCTTTTTGTGTTCTCGTAGCCCAAACTGATTGTCATTATTTCAAGCCAAGGCCTTGATCTTTGCATACTGAAGTCCTTCATTTCAGAGAACATTAAATTTTGCCTATTTTGAGTATAAGGTGGCTCTTCTGCAAAAGTTATTTACCTATAAAGAGTAGGTCTATCTAAGGTCATATCCCATGTGTTCTCTCTGGGTAAGGAAAATGTCCCTCTTTAACAAAGAAGTGGGGAACTGACTGTGTGTTTTCCCGTTTATTAAATTCTGCTAGGAGGCTTCAAATTATAGACATCAGGACATTTTTACAACAAATGTTGAGTTCTGAGAGTCTATAAAACTTGAGGGATTTGTAGTTTGTGGCCAAGTAATTTTTGGTATAGTATATTTCTATTTAAACTTTAAAAATAAGAGGAATTTAGGAATAAATCTTGTTTAACTGACTGTAGCTTTTTGTTTTGTTTCATTTTTAAAACTTCATTATGCTTTAATATGTCCTTCTTCTCCCAACTATTCTGGTAACACTACAAAATACAGTTTATTCACAGGTATGAAGTTAAATCTGAAAATTATGCATATTTACTCATTTTTTACCCTTTTCCACAGATAAGATATTTATTGAAATATTATCATTTAAAGAATAATGATAGGTAACAGTTTCTGAACACTTTCTATGCCACGTACTGTGCTGAGTGCTTTATATGCACTATTCCATTTAATCCTTCAAAAATGCTAATAGATAAAATATCCATTTACAGCCAGAAATTGGAATTTAGAGATGTTAAATAAATTTGCATAGCTAGTGAAAAGTGGAGTCAGGATTAGAATCCAGGTTTATATTCTTAACTTCTGTGGTATACTGCCTCTCTTAATAATGTGTATTGATAGATAAAATTAGAGACTTTTAGTGTTAATAAAGAGAGTGAATTGTAAAGTATAATCATTAAAATTTTTTGGATTTTTTTTTTTAGACCTCTTCTTGGCATATCTGCCATTTGATTTGTTTCCATTGTAATTAGTGTTTTTTATTATTAGGGCGTTAATTTCTGATATCTTAACATTGATGTAGCAGCATTGTGATTCTGCTCATGTATTTTATATTTTGAGCATATCTGTTTTGTATGAATTCATATTTGTTTTTGCTGCTATTTTTAAAGGTGCATAAGTTCTTTGAATTATCAACTAATATGTATGTATAGACATTAAAATTTCTAAGTGAGGAGAAGAGCAATTGTATATATTTAAAAAGAAATCATCAGGTGATTGTGATACACTTAATAAACTTTTCATATTTAGATTTTTCTTTGTAAGGTAATCTTACCCTCTATCAGGGGACTGAATAGTCAGGCATTGACTAACATGTCAGTGCTCTAAATTTGCTTATATAACCGCTGACTTGCTATGTCTTTTCAATCAAAATAGCTAGTAAAAAATAAGATGTTTAATTGTATAAGTTAAATCAAGGTTTATGTATTATTTCATTTCAGAAGGTTGTTATATGCATAATGAAATTATTTTGGGGGGCATCAATTTAAGTTGATAAATTTATAGCTATCAGTTTATTTTGAGATATGTTAATAATACGTGTTCTTAGGATTTCCACTGGACAAAGCAGTTGCCTATGCAAAACTCAGGAATCCATTTGTAATCAATGACTTGAATATGCAGTATCTCATACAAGATAGGTGAGTTATGCAATTGGCTGAATTAAGGGAAGGAAAATTAACATTTATTTAATACCTAGTGTATGGTGACATGCATCAGATGTTTTCACATACATTCAATCCTTGTGTCCTCAAAACAATACTCAGAAATAGATATTTACACCCATTTTTGTAGATGAAGAGATTTGAGAATCATGGAGATCCACTAATTTGCCCAGTGCCACGAGTAGTTCTCCCCCTAGTAGAACAAAGACTTAAACCAGATATAATTTCCAGAGCCTTTTAAACCATTGAAAATTATGAGCAATTTTTACACCTTATAACTAAATTTTTTAAATGGTGAGGTATACTCATTTTGAAAAATATTCCACTATGTGTCTTAGCAGGCCAAAACCATGAATTTTTAAGAGAAACTATAAAATGTGAGTATATTTATGTATTTTATTTAATTGATGTTTCACTCTGATGGCTACTCTTTTAATTTCACTAGCATTCTATTTTCTTGTGTGTTAGCATAACAATATGAATATCAGAAAACACTATAAAATGTAAGACCCTGTTTTTCTATTTTTTATTTTTTTCTTCCAGTTGGTAGCACTATTAATATATAAAAATGTAAAATATTTCCCCTAGGCTTATATAGTAACACGTTTTTATGGTAACGTGTATATATATATGTGTGTGTGTTAGTTTTAACTAGTTTGAAAAATAAAAGCATAAAGAAAGTTGTTTAATCCTGCCACTTTATCTACCACATTGTTTTCCTTTAGAAAGCAACACATAAATACACTCACATTTTATAAAATTGGGGTCAATTTTCTTACAGAATATTGTGAATATCTATGTCATTAAATATTATTTGAGCATAATGTTTTCAATAGGTAATATTCTGTCATTGAGCTATATCGACTTTAACTATTTTTTTTATAAATTTACATTTCTAGTTTTAAAAATTAGTATTTTAATATGCTACAAAAAGTATTCTTGTATATAAATTTTTGTTCTCCTGGTTGAGTATTTCCTTAGAATACACTTTTCAGTATTATAGATGGCATATGTTTATTTAAAAAAAAAACTGAACATACGTATCCTTTTTAGTAGTGGACCAGTAATGATGTACTTTAAAAACAGTACAATAATATATTCACTGTGAACTAGAGCAAAAACAATAAGGATGTTTTTCTTTTTCTTTAGGAGAGAAGTGTATAGTATCCTTCAAGCTGAAGGTATTTTACTTCCTCGTTATGCAATTTTGAACCGTGACCCAAATAATCCCAAAGGTAAGAGATTTTAACCAGGCTGTCTTCTGCTACTCAACATGCTTTTAGGATACTTTCTTTCTGTAATTAAGTGGAATGAATTTTAACAATTTGTGGTATTCTATTCAGGTGTTTTTTTCTTCATTCTGATCTAAATAAATAATTAAAATGTGATACTATGCGTGAAATAGTGTCTAAATAATTTAGGAGTTATCTGTCCTCTTTTTTTTGGTCTACATTGGACACATCTCTTGAGAATCATGAAGAAGAGTTTTAAAATTACACAATTCATAAATTGGTATTGATTAGGGATAAACAAGTGATTCATCTGACTGTTGAATTAAGTATTAAAAACTTCATGCTAAGATGCCACAGTTAAAATCTCTGATGATAATAAGTAGAAATTTTGAGATATTACTACTTATTAGTACTTAATATCTTAAGCAACCTTTGCTTCTTTTTCCTGGATATTTAAACATAGTGTGTAAGCTAGCCTACGCATAACCAAAACCAAACCCACTGCTGTCAAGTCCATTCTGACTCGCAGCAACCCTGTAGAACAGAGTAGAACTGCCCCATAGGGTTTCCAAGACTGTAACTTTTACTGAAACAGGCTGCCACATCTTTCTCCCGGGGAGCGGCTGGTGGATTCGTTCCGCTGACCTTTTTGTGAGCAGCCAAGCACTTAACCACAGCACCACCAGAGCTCCTTAGAGTATACATAACTTACTCTAAAAGGGCAAAATAAGTGTTTATCTATTTTAAGAGTTAATATTCTGATAGCACTTAATATTTTGAGGAATTTTGATGGCTTTGTTGTACCTTAAAACAAAAAAAAATCCAGATGTAGCATTTATTATTTGAAACAGGGACTTTTCTCATCAGTCTAGGGGTAAAAAATTAACTTTCTGATTAGATTGCTTGCTGACTCTACACGTGGGTCATTTTTCTAACTGAAACAATTTTATGTTGTATGGTATCTGATACAAATGATCCATACATTTTTCAGAAGATGGTGACGTTCTAGAGTTACCTCTGAATCTTTTTTGTTGGTGTCATCTTCTATTTAACTTTTTCTATCTAACTTTGAATACTGTGCATGGTATGGTGAAATGGCACATTCATAAGATTTTAAAGAAAAAATGTTGTTCCAAATGCCATGTGTATCATAAATGTTAGTATATGTTGTTCGCAAAAATATTTTAAATTAAGGTTAGATCAGTGCATTATCCAAGATTACTTTTCGTTGTGTTCTCTGTTCTGGTTTTTTAAAAAAGCCCTAAATAATTATATGGTATGGTGCAAACAGTTAACGTGCCAGGCCGCTAACCAAAAGGTTGGAGATTCAAGTCCACCAAAGTGCCTTGGAAGAAGGGCCTGGCAATCTACTTCAAAAAGTCACCCATTGAAATCCTACGGAGCATAATTCTGCTGTGACACACATGGAGTTGCGATGAGTCAGAATCAGCTTGATGGCACCTGGTTTTTGGTTATCTAGATAATGCATGCAGTGTATAATTTTTTTTTGTTATTATTTTTGATTTATAGAATGCAATCTGATTGAAGGGGAAGATCATGTTGAAGTAAATGGAGAAGTTTTCCAAAAGCCATTTGTAGAAAAGCCAGTAAGTGCAGAAGATCACAATGTTTACATTTATTATCCAACGTCTGCAGGTGGTGGAAGTCAAAGACTCTTTCGAAAGGTAAACCTTTGTAATCCTAGTAAATACTTTTCTTGGTACGTCTGTTGTATAAATTTAATTAAAAGCAATCGAGTATTTAATAAAACTTATTAAATATTGCACTCTTAAAAATATATCATTTGGAGACAGATTTATAAAACTGATATACTTTTGTCAGAAAAGCAAGGCATTATTTCAGTTATTTAACGTTTATGCAAAATTTCTATCTACAGAATACGAGAAAGTCACTTGCTTCTGTGGTGTATTTACACAGTGGAAAATTCGATAGTAGTAGAAATGAACAAACTTGCAGTGAACAAACTTGCAGCAATATAGGTGAATCTTGGAAACATAATTCTGAGTGTTTGTTGTATTTTTATGCTATTTAGCTTACATATATGTTATAATTACAGCAGAAAATATAGTGCGAAGTACAGAGTAAGCATGGTTAAAGATTTATGGATTAAAAAAATTTATTTGACAATAACTAAGATGGAAATAGAGGTTCCTGGGTGGTGTAAACAGTTAAGCACTTGGTTACTAACTGAAAGGTTGGTGGTTCAAATCTATCCAGCGGTAACTTGGAAGAAAGGCCTGGCGATCTACTTCTGAAAGATCGCAGCCATTGAAAACCCTAGGGAGCACAGTTTACCCTGAAACACGTGGGGTTGCCGTAAGTCAGAATCAGCTTGACAGCAACTGGTTTGGTTTTGATTTGAATTTTTAAAGATGAAAATAGATAGCAAAAGTGTTATAGCATAAAAATGAAGAAAACATTATATTTGATGGACATCTTCTGCTTTCAGATTGGCAGTAGAAGTAGTGTTTATTCCCCAGAAAGCAATGTACGAAAAACGGGCTCATATATATATGAAGAATTTATGCCCACAGATGGTACTGATGTTAAGGTAGGATTGAATAAAAGTATGTTTTAATTTTGTATTTAGAATTTGCCAGTGATCTTAGAAGGAGGTAACTCTTTAACTACCTAGATGTTTGTTCTGTATCTCTTTTTGACTAGGAATTTTTAATCTGTTTTATACCATGAATGACGTTGGCAGTCTGAAGCCTAGAGATCCTTTTTTTTAGGTTCTCAAATGCTTAAAATAAAACACAGGATTGCAAAGAAAACAAATTTTATTGAAGTATTGTTATCAACATACGTAAAAACTGAATTTGTCATACAGTTTATTATGTTTCTTTAAAAGAGCATTAAATAATAAAATATTGTGGACAAGGGTCTGTTAGCCACCACAGTTTCCAGGCAGTGATCAGTGTATTGAGATCTGCAACAACTGTAATGTGATATAAAAATATCTAAGGTTTTTATTGGAGACGAATAGTCTTAATTGCTTTATCTTCAGCCAGTTTCTCTCTAATCAGACTGTTCTTTATAAAGTAGATTTGATCATGAACCTCTCCTTAAAAATTCTCCCATGAGTCCTCAACGACAGTATAATAGCCAAATTCATAAGCCTGGCATACAACATACTTCACATTCTGTCCTCTGTCTGTCTTACAAACCTCATTTCTTACAACATAAAATGTGTCAAATAATTCGACATTATCTGAATATATCATGCTGTTTCATGCCTTTGTCCTTTGTATTTATTACCTCTAATTGGAGTAGATATCCCTCTCTTGTCAGCCTTGGAGTTCGTGCTCTACCCCCTCCCCTTTTTAATATTTTTCTTATGGCAGTTATTAACTTCTGTAATGTTTTATAATTATGTTTTTCCTTTGTTAAACGATTTGAGGAAAGGGCTCACATCTTATACATTCTAGTATTCACCCATAATATTCAGTGCAATAGTTTTCTATAGAGAATGAAACCTCACTTTGCAATATAATCAATTATTTGTAACTTTTTCCAATGTATTGAAATATTTGATGTGTAAAATAGAAAGATATATCTATTTGGTAGTTTAAAGTCTAAACTACATTTTTTATTGTTTTAAAAATTTGTTGTCTGATGGTGTTTTTTTTTTTTAAACATTCATGAAAGGTTTATACAGTGGGTCCAGATTATGCCCATGCTGAAGCTCGAAAATCTCCAGCACTTGATGGCAAGGTAGAACGAGATAGTGAAGGAAAAGAAGTAAGATACCCTGTTATTCTCAATGCACGAGAGAAATTAATTGCTTGGAAAGTCTGCCTTGCTTTTAAGGTAAAGATGTTATACAGGCTATATAAAAACCCCATTGCCCTCAAGTCAGTTCCACCTTATGAGGAGAACTGCCCCATAGGGCTTCCAAGGCTGTAATCTTTATGGAAGCAGACTGCCACGTCTTTCTCCCAGAGTGGCTGGTGGGTTCAAATCACCAACCTTTTGGTTAGCAGCTAAGCACTTAACCATTGCACAACCAGGGCTCTTCTATACAGGCTGTATAGTCTCTCATAAATGGAATTCCAGTTTCTTTTTTAGTAAAAGAAAAGTTATTTGGGCTTATAATTGGAGAAGGAAGCTGAGACAGTAGCTGCTGGGTGGCATAAATGTTTAAGCACTCAGCTACTCACCAAAAGGTTGTCGGTTCAAATCCACCTAGAAGTGCCTCAGAAGAAAGGCCTGGCAGTCTACTTTCGAAAGGTCACAGCCATTGAAAATGATGTGGTATACAGTTTTACTCTGAAACACATGGGATAGCCATGAGTTGGAATCGACTGACAACTGGTTTGCTGGTTTAAGCTGAGAAACTAGTTGATACGTCTAAACATTTAATGTGTTTTCAAGGGATATTTGTAATGCTAATAATAAAAATATGTAATAAATGAAAGTCTTTGTTTCTCTGTATTCTTTATTACATACAAGGTAACCATGTCAATTTATTAAAAAATTAAAATTACAGAGAATAACTTAACTAAAACAGTAGGGCTAGTCAGCGTTTAGGGACATGTTTAACATATTTTAAAAAAGAAAACCTTTTCAATTCTGATTTTTTATGAATTCCTTCAATTAATCTATATTGTAAGGTTTTTAATCTTACTACTGTATGATAAAATTTTGAATAGAAGTAGTACAATCTGCATTTACTAAAGGATAAATTTTACCTCTTGTAACTTTACCTTGGAATCTATAATGTAAAGGCTAGTGTATATTACTGGTTATTAAATAATAAATAATCTGTGTCTTAATATTTGAAGTCTCTTTCATGAAAGGAATACTAGCTTATTAGCCTGTGAATATATTTTAATCGCTTTTTATACATAGTTTTAATTATGCCAGAATTCCAAAAGCCATGACTTAAAATTGCATTATACTGATACGTGATAATTTGAACATAAAGCATGGAAAATCAGAAAATTCCTAGAGTCTAGGCAGGAAATTCAAACCTTTAAGCTACTTTCTTCTCCCAGAGAAAGTAAATTGATTTCAGGTGCTCACAAATATGTGGTTATCAGGGCTTAAATGATTCGTAGGGCTAATTGGATATTTCCTCTCGAATATGTCTTCAAACTATTTCTGTCTTTCCTTCCTTCCTCCCTCCATCCCTCCTTCTCTCCTTTCTTCTTTCTGTCCTTGTTGTAAAGTGATATAATTTCTGCTAGTGCAAAATTTATTTTTTAATCATACCCTTTAAAAATATATTTTTTAAATTAAATGTTAATATCAGGACTTCTTAATGCAGTGTTTTTTTGGCTTCTCTAGTCCCTTAAACATTATTATTCTACATCTGCTTGATGGTAAAGAACTTAAGTAATCATATGGCATGTATAATGTATCTTCAGAGCAATCAAGTTACAAATAAGTGATTTCTATCATTTTCTATTTACTGTGAAGTAAACCAATATACTTTTTGGTATTGATAAAATTTGGTATATACTAATAAGACTAGAAAACTGTTAATCTTAATAATCCAAATAGAATCTTAAAGTTTATAATTTATTTTTAATAGCAAACAGTCTGTGGCTTTGATTTGTTACGGGCCAATGGACAGTCCTATGTCTGTGATGTCAATGGCTTCAGTTTTGTGAAAAATTCCATGAAGTATTATGATGATTGTGCAAAAATACTTGGGTAAGTTTTTTTTCTTTATTTTTCATTCTCTTTACCTTTGTTACAGCTAATGCATGCTGGTTATTCAGCAACCAAATAATTATAAAGGTCAAAAGATTAGAATTTTTTAGGTAATCTAGAGTAAAAATCAATGTTCATGAGGTGACACCCCCAAATGCCATTCCAGATCCTGAATTATACTCAGGGTTATCAAAGACAGATTAATTTATGATCAGTATAAATGAAGGGCTAAAAGTATCTTAATTTTGTAGATTTGGAAATGCTGTAACATGGTGATTATTAATCAAAATAGCTAATGGATTAGAATACCATTTTTCTGTAGTTTTTGCTGTATAATTATAATTGAAAAGTTTTAATTTTCTTACTTCATGGTACAAAATGAGCTATTCATGAAATTAGTAACCAGAATAAAATAAAAATATTTGAAGCTCAGGATTCTTTTGAATAATATTTCTTTCTAGAAGCACATGTTACTTGTCGATAATGAGATTATCAAGTGAATATAAAAGAATTCTTGCCTATAGAGATGCCATTTTTATATTCTTTAGTGTGGTCTTTTATACCTTGACTCCGAAACTAGCAAGATAGGAATGGTTTTTTAAGTAATTTCAAAGTATGTATGACAAAGCCATAGGAAACTTACACTTTAAAATGTTGTTTAATAATTGTAATTAGCTTTTATAGTATCTTTCAGAGATTAGTGAACTTGCTCTTAAAGTGAAATTTTGAAGAGTTTACCAAATTTTAGCATTAATAAATGCTAAATTTTAACAATACAAGAAAAATTATACTTACTTAAATGTGTTTCTGTTGTTTTCCTATTAGTAAAATATATAATAATAGAGATTTGTTAAATATAGGCATGGTGTCTAGGATAGCTTTATTGGTGTTCAATAAACTGATAAGAAAATGACCAGTGGTCACACAGAAGAGACAATCTTAGATTTCAGAATGTATGTAATTAGATATGATGTGATTATGGTGTTTTCTTTGACCCAATATGACTTATATTTTTAAAATTTAAGTAAATAATTCTAAATTTGTAGCATCCCATTAGTGTTCTCTGATACATCAGTTTAGAACTGCTGATTTAATTTTTCTTGACCAGAATTCAGTCTTTGAGTAACTTTTTGTATGATGTAATCCCTCAATAATTTGACTGTAACTCCTTATGATTCATAATTATTGTCATTATGTACCGTTTTGTCTTAAAATGCACTAATTTTTAATTTTTTTCTTTGTTTTTTTCTTTCCTTCCTTCCAAAGCAATATTGTAATGCGAGAGCTTGCTCCACAATTTCATATTCCCTGGTCAATACCCTTAGAAGCTGAAGATATCCCAATTGTACCAACTACATCTGGAACTATGTAAGTTCGAATATTTTAATTTAGAAATCTCTTGGATTTCTCCATGTGCTATTACAATAAAAATTAAATTTCTTCGTGATTATTAGGTACTTTACTGTGTATGTTTTCCTATGATTCAATTTAAAGATGGAGAATAGATTATATGCTTTTACAAGGGTCCATATAGACTAAAAATCTTTTATAGTGTTACAAGTAAAATCCTGAAAAATGCTTGGATTATTATAAAACTGTTGAATTAAGCCATAAAAATAAAAGAGATGCCAAGAGAGAAGTTGCTTAAAGGTTCATGGTCAGTGATCATATAACTTTGGCTCTCTCAGAATATGATGGAAAAATATAGTCATATTGTAGTCATATTTTGAGGTAAATTAATTAGAGCAGTATTTCGAAAGTGATCCCTACATTCTACTAGTGAAAATTACTCCTTGAAAAGTCAAATGAGATAAGTGCTTCACCTTCACATCTTAGAGATTCATAATAACATGTTTAATATTCTGAGAAATCCTTATTGGGATTTAATTTTGTTTTTTAAACTAGCATTTTCCAATCTTATTTAGCTCAGAATTTATCCATTTAACTTACTAATATCCTGCAGGGTAGTAGTGTTCTATGACTCACACTTTGGCAAATACTGGATTATACTTCCTAAATCTAGCATGCTTCTAAGACCATTTTATCTTCCACTAATGTGAGTTTGAAATATTTGTTTTTCTTCCATGGATAAATATCACAACCATCCACTAAAACTTTATTTTGATTTAATGAAATCTTAGCCTATAGGGATCTATGCTATTAGGGCAGATATTTAGTAAATTATAGGGACTGGAACCTATTTTCATTATCCTAGAATTAACACAATCATCTCTAGAGAGGAAGTAAATATCATATTATGTAACTTAGTTTTATCACCTCCAGCTTCTTCAGTTTTTTTCAGGATTTGGTTACATGAAATTAAGATTGATTGTTACAAGTATTATTCTCCATGGAACATATTTTTTAATTTTTTTTATCTTAGGATGGAACTTAGATGTGTTATAGCTGTCATACGTCACGGGGATCGAACACCAAAACAAAAAATGAAAATGGAAGTGAGGCATCAAAAGTATGTTTTAAGCAGAATAATTTAACACTTATGAGATAATTTGAGATTTCTGATACACGTTAAACTCTTTTGATTAACATGCTATTTAGAAAAACATTGTGTACCTATTGTTTTTTGGCCATTAATATTTAAACAAGTCCCTGGGTGGCATAAGTGGTTACGCACTCAACTACTAAAAGGTTGACAGAACCCACCCAGAGTAACCTCAGAAGATAGACCTGGTGTTGTGCTTCTGAAAGGTCATAGCTATGAAAACCCCATGGAGCAGTTCTGCTCTGCACACATGGGGTCGCCATGAGTTGAAATTGACTCAACAGCAAATAACAACACCAACAACAGTATTTAAACCACTGGATGCATACTTAAAGTAATTATATATATAAGAATTTGAACAAAAAATATGGTACTATCTATACCTGATTATCAATCTAACCTGACTTTTATTTATTGTTATAAAGATGTTCTGTTTATAATTAGGCTTGGTTTATCATGCTCTTGTATTGCTTTCTGAGAGTCATTAACCTCTCAACCTTCTAGAAGAAAATTAGTAAGATGAAAGTTATTTCTATTCAGTATTTGATCTGGAGATGATAAAATTTAAAAACCTGAGCCATTAAATAAATGTGTTGAGATTGGTATTTTTTTAGCATATGTACATTGACAGGAGAGAGTATATAATATTTTGTATTATAATCATATGTTCAATTTTCATCATGAAAAAACAATTTTAAAAATAACATCATGATTAACAGTTTGACATCGTTTAATACAATACTAAATTTTACCAATTAAAGCAGAGGGAGCAGCATGATACAGTGAAAGAGGACATAGACCCCAACTTTCTAGTCACATATTTTTCATTTATTATTATTGATTCATGTAAGTACATGGTAGTAATATTAATTATATGCAAGTTACTAACAGTGCTGTCTTTTTTTTTTTTAAAGATTTTTTGATCTTTTTGAAAAGTGTGATGGATATAAATCTGGGAAATTAAAACTCAAAAAGCCAAAACAATTACAAGTAAGTTTGATTTTTGTTTTAAGTTTTTAATGGTGAAATTATATAAAAATTTAATTTTTTATTTTTATTTTATAGGAAGTGCTAGATATTGCACGACAACTTCTTATGGAGCTTGGGCAAAATAACGATTCTGAAATTGAAGAAAACAAGTCAAAACTTGAGCAACTTAAGACTGTATTGGAGATGTGAGTATCTTTTCGAAACCCATAATTGTGATAACTAATTGAGGTGCTCCTTTTTTTTAATGTGCTTTTTTATATGCGAGGCTCTCTATTTTAATTCCTTTCACAGTTTGATCTTTTTGTTCTTTATCACTGTAGATAAGGAGAATTTAATGAATTATTTATACCAGTGAGAAAAAATAGATTGTTGTATTGAAGGTTATTGTTTTAGTTTCACTTTAAATTTTTATGAAAAGATCCAAAGAGGACATCAAATTTGGATTTTCTATGAAGAACTCCTTTGAATGAGGGCCACACTGCTGAGTTGACCGTATATTTAGTGCTGTTTAAATCAAAACCAGTTTTGCACTGTGCTTTAATCACTGAAATTGGTACCACCAGTGTTTCTGTATAAGCTTTACATGTTTAATCACTTAAAATCTTATATCCTTTATTTCTTAAAGATAAATTTATTTATGTTTTTACATACTTTCATACTTTGTCTTCTTTTCAGAATTGTCTAACTTTTGTAGAAAACGTTTTTTGTTCTTTTTTTTTTTTTTAAGGTGGTTAAAATGACTACCTATGGTACAAATTTTCTGCTAGAATATTTTGAAGAACTCAGCAAGGCAGTTACAGATAAAAGGGGACATTAATATGTAAGATTTAGTTTTTCTCTAGATGGATTTTAGTTTTTCTTTAGGAGGTGACGTCAGCATTTATTGAATATTGCCCATTTCTGCTTACCATTTTATTTTTCAGGTATGGCCATTTCTCTGGAATAAATCGTAAGGTCCAATTGACCTATCTTCCTCATGGTTGTCCTAAAACATCTAGTGAAGAAGAAGGTATGTTTTTACTAATGCCTATTGTGTTTCAACTATGTATAGTAACTTACTATGTATTGTTGATTACCTCTGGACGATGTTCTGCCTAATTGTTTACGGATTGGCATGCTGAAGAAAGGAAAAATAACATGTAGTTTTGTTAACTGTGCATTCTATCCTTTAAGTAAAGGATTTGTTGTTAGGTGCCATCGAGTCGGTTCAGACTCATTGCGACCCTGAGCACAGCAGAACAAAACCCACTGCCCAGTCCTGTACCATCTTCACAGTCGTTCTTGTGTTTGAGCCCATGGTTGCATCTGCTGTGTCATTCCATCTCATTGTGGGTCTTCCTCTTTTTCGCTGACCCTCTACTGTACCAAATATGACATCCTTCTCCAGGGACTCGTCCCTCGTGATAACATGTCCAAAGTACGTGAGATGCAGTCTTGCCATCCTCGCTTCTAAGGAGCATTCTGGCTGTACTTCTTCCAAGACAGATTTATTCATTCTGGCAGTCCATGGTGTATTCAGTATTCTTCACCGACACCATAATTCCAAGGCATCAGTTCTTTTTCCATGTTCCTTATTCATTGTCCAGCTTTCACATGCACATGAGGCGATTGAAAATACCATGGCTTGGGTCAGGCCCACCTTAGTCTTCAAAGTGACATCTTTGCTTTTTAACACTTCAGAGAGGTCTTTTGTGGCACATTTGCCCAGTACAATTCATTGTTTGAGTTCTTGACTGTTGCTTCCATGGGCATTGATTGTGGAGCTTCCAGACTAAGACAGACTAGGAAGAAGGACCTGGTGATCTACTTCTAAAAAATATTGGCCAGTAAAAACTCTATGAGTAGCAGCGGAAGTAAAGGATAGATTTTATTTATTTCAAGAACTCTTTAGGACTTCCCTTTTTACTCTGGGTTGTTTCAGAAAGCTTATTTATTTCTCAATATTATTTAACGTCCCTCTTTCTTACTCTTTGGATAGATGAGGGCAGAGTATACAGGGAAGCTCGAGAAGTATAAAAAGACTATTCAAAAAAATATATAATCAACATGTTACAAAAATAAATTGATATTTTCCTCCACCCAATATGCCAGAATAAGCATTTAAGTAAGATTAGTCTTCTAAGAGCAGTCAGCAGCAAAGCTCGTATATTCATTTACATTTCAAAAGAAAAATGAGAAAGGATCTCACAAAGCCATTTTTTGGAGAAACGCAGATGGCCAGTAATTATGAAATACCAGTCTTTTGCTTAACACACTGGCAAAGTGTTTTCTTTTTTAAAGAACTAGTAATACAAAATGCTGATGAGAATTCAGTGTGACAGGATCTCCCTGATATGTCTACTGATAGGAGTATAAATTGACACAACTTTTTGGAAAGTAATTTGTCAATAACTTAAAAAATGTTCATATACTTTTACCTTAATTCTATTTATGAGAAGTAATCAGATATTCAGGGAAGGATTAATTGATAAGGATATTGACAATAGCATTATTTTTAGTAGCAGAAATGAAGTAATGATTATCTTAAAGGCAAACAATTTGAATGTGTTAATCTTTATTTATTTATTTAAAAATTTGACATGTTGCTCTGTTGTTACCCTTGGTCATTAATTTCCTATATTTTAATGTTTTTGATCAGAAGCTTTCTATAAATAAAATAAAAAGCCAGTTAATTAATGGTCCTTCCATAAATTAATATTGACCATCATGGTAAAGTTCATAAAACTGTTAAGTGGCCCCGGGGGAAAGGGTGATTTTTCTGTCAGTTTTAATAAATTTTCATTAAGTTCTTTTACTATTTATAATGCTTATTTTTTAATTACCTTTCTTTCCATAACCTAAGACAGATCTTGAGGACATGATAAAAGGTCCAAATTAAGTACAGAAACCCATTCACTTATGATGTCTTCTACAAGTCTGTGAAAGTACTCTGGTTTGGAACACACAGTGATTCCACAATTCCAGATGAAAAACTGTTCTTTTCTATATTTTTTCTACTTATCACCTAGAAAATTTAAATTAAAATATATATTAGTCTCTCTAGTCTCACATTTTCATTAAAATTATGCAAATCACTGGTCCCATTCATTAAAATATGTGTATCTTCATTTCAGCTAACGTAATACTTTTTATGTGATAGCACTGTAGAAGGCCCTTAGTATAAAGGCAGAAGATCAGGATCCTTCATCTATCATAATGTAACTCAATTAATTAAATATACTGGGCAAACCAGTCTGAGAACAGGGAGGGGAAAAGCAATCTTCGGAAAATTGGGAGCACACCTTTTCCCAAAAGTATGAAAGGGGTTTTGAAATTTTAGTAGGACTTTAACGATGGAACGATGGGTATTCCTGTCAGAAGCAGCAGCCTACAAAGATAAGCACATTTAAAGAACAAAGTAATTTACATGTGGTCCATATTCCACTGCAGAAGAGAGTATAGGAAGAAAATCTTGAGACGTGTTTAAAAAAAACCAAACTTCACATTTGTTTTATCCATTCTAATGTATCCTAGACAGCCGAAGAGAAGAGCCATCCTTACTTTTGGTTCTAAAATGGGGAGGAGAACTAACCCCTGCAGGCAGGGTTCAGGCTGAAGAACTTGGAAGAGCTTTCAGGTGTATGTATCCTGGAGGTCAAGGTGAGTCTTGGAATTTCTTTAATTTGGTTAAATATATACATTGTGTTTTCAAATTCTCATTTACTTGGAGATGTTAGTAAATATTTACAGAAGTACAGTGAGATAAAAATATAGCTTAAGTGATTTGAGGATTTATTTTCAGGAGATTATGCAGGATTTCCTGGTTGTGGTTTACTTAGATTACATAGTACCTACCGACATGACCTCAAAATATATGCATCTGATGAGGGACGAGTCCAGATGACTGCAGCTGCTTTTGCAAAGGTATAAATGTTTTTAGATTTATTAGAATTTTTATTTAAAATTGTCTTTTAAAAGATTTTTACTAAGGCAGTATTCAGTTTAAAAATTTCAAATATCTAAAAATTCCAAATTTGGAAATTCCAACTAAAGCACTCAAATGGCAGTGATAAACTATATTATTATTATTATTATTTATTAATATAGTTTACTTAATGAAATTCAGCATATAACAAAATAATTATGATACTTTTATTATGCATATTAATTTTTTTTATCTGTTGGATTTATTTAATGTTTAGGGACTATTAGCTTTAGAAGGAGAGCTTACACCTATTCTTGTTCAGATGGTAAAAAGTGCAAACATGAATGGTCTCTTGGATAGTGATAGTGACTCTTTGAGCAGTTGTCAGCAACGTGTGAAAGCAAGACTTCATGAAATACTTCAGAAAGACAGAGATTTTACTGCTGAAGATTATGAAAAGGTAGGCCTTGGCAAACTCTTCCTCTACATTGTGAAATACTATATACACAGAAATAAGTGCATAAAACAAAAATCTCAAGCTTACTTATTTTATAAAGCAAACAGTCATGTAAACACCACCTAGATAGAACACTGGAGCAACCCTGATGGCCCTACATGCCCTTTGCAATTGTATCCCCTTTCCTGTCTTCTAGAAATTACTGCGATAACTTTTTATGTTGCTCTTTTTTAGTCTTTTATCCAGAATATTTATTTGGATAAATATGTATCCCTAAACACCGTAGTCTCATTTTTGGCTGTTTTTAAAACTTCATATGCATTGAAACCTTTGACAGCCTTAACTCGAAGAGACTGCCTTTCTCTGGGTCTCGCAAGTTTTCTGCCACTTTTTTTTTTTTTTTTTTTTTTTTTAACCACTTTTCAGTCGTTTTCTGTTATTGGGCAGTATATGAGTTTTCCTTCTCTTACACAGGTTCCGGCCTTTGCAGGTTTTAGTGTAATAGAATAATACAGCATTTTCTTTCATGTCTAGTTTCCTTTGTTCAACGTTGTGTTTGTAAATTTCATCAGTATTGTTGAGTATTGCCATAGTTAATTTTCATTGCTATGTAGTAGCATTCTATTTCAAGGATTGGCAAACTTTTTCTGTAAAAAATCAGATAGTAAATATTTTATGCTTTGCCTAACATAGGATCTCTATTGCTTTTTTTTGTTTTTTAACTACCCTTTAAAAATGTAAAAATCATTCTGAGTTCGGGCTGCACCGCAGGTCACATTTGGCCTGTGGGCTGTAGTTTGTTGAGCCACATTCTGTTTAATGAATGTACTACAATTTAGCTATGCTTTCTACTGTTGTCACCAGTTTGGGGCTTTTATGACTAATGCTACTATGAATATCCTTGTATGCCTCCTGGTGCATATGATCATGTGTATGCTCATGTTCAGTATTAGTATATAATAACTGAATTGCTTTCTAAATTAATTGAACGAATTTACATTCCCATTAGAATTCTATGGTAATTCTCATTGCTCCACATAGTCTCCATTCTTGGTATATTTAAAACTATTCAATTTTTACCATTCTGATGGATGTACAGTGGTACCTCACTTGGGGTTTTAATATTTATTGACCATTTAGACATCCTCTTTCATAAGGCATCTCTTCAAGTCTCGTCTTTTTTTTTTTCTACTAGTGGTTTGTGTGTTTCTTTTTGATTGGTAGAAAGCTCTTTGTCTATTCTGGATATGAGCTCTTTGCAAAATTCCTGTTGGGATTTTGATTTAGATTGCATTAAATCTATAGATTGGTTTGTAAGAATGTATATCTTTTTATCTAGGCTTTCAATCTGTACATATAGTATAGCTCATCATTTAGTTTGATATTCTTTAATCTCAGAATAAGGAAATTTCATTTTGTTTCTATTTTGTTAAGAATTTTTATCATGAAAATTCGTTGAATTTTATCATATTTTCCATAAGTTTTGAAAGATGTCATTTTTATATCTTCTAGCCTCCCTGTTGTTTCCTTTGAGAAGTCAGCTGTTAGTCTTATTGTTGTGTCTTTGAAGATAAATCTGTTTTTTTGTTTTTACTCCTGGCTACTTTAAATATCTGGCTTTGGTTTTCAGCAGTTTTTCTGTTGTGTCCAGATGTAGATTTAAATATTTCCTCTGTTCCCTTCTTCTGGAACTCTAAACATATGTATGTTAGAGCTCATCAGTTTGTCTTGTCTTATCCTTTCTTTGTTTTTTTTCATCCTTTTATCTCTATGCTTCATTGTGGGTATTATCTTCTAACCTATGTTCCAGTTCACTGAATTATCTTTGGCTGTATCTAATCTGTTTTAAATTTAGCTATTTTCAATAATTGAATTTCTATTTGCTTAAAAAAAATGTATTGTCATTTTCTTAGTTTGTAGTTCTTTGCTGATTTTTAATGTTTTATCTTAAATGTAGTGAGTCTCCTGATTCTGAGTTTTTCTCTGATAATTGTAATATCTAGAGTTTCTTCTTTGTGTTTCTTTTGTCTGTTTTGCTGATTGGCATTCATGATGTCATGTCTTCTTGTGTGCCTGAATAGCTTTAATTGTTTCTGGACATTTTATTTGTAGAAATAATTTGAGCTTTAGATGATGTCATCATGCAATATGGATTTTATTTGTTCTTGCTATAATAACTACTGGTTATAGTATACTGTGGACATAGCAATCTGAGATTACCTTAATCCAGTTTCAGAAACTGATGTTTTTCTGGGCCAACCAGATGACTTTAACTTGGTTTGCAGTTTGTTGGTGGGTTGATTTGCTTCTGATTCACCATCACTGTTTTGAAACCTAAATGCAGGGGGTTTACCTCAGCACACCTTTGGTGTACCCTAGACTCCACTTTTGTTCCTTTAGCCCAGAAAGGTTGTTAAACCTCAACTCAGTTTCTCAGCTGTCTCTTCACAGTCAATAAATGTCTCCAGTGCAGAATAGCCTCAAATGCCAGGCTCACTCTAAATCACTGACCTATATAAGTTTGGTTCCAGAATTCTTTACTACTTTGTTAGCTGTCGGATGTCTTAAAGCGAAGTATAGAAGTTATTTTTCAAGGAGTTCTACTTACCTTCACTAGTATTGTTGGTCCAAACCACCTAATTCACCATAACCAGAAGTGGAATTCCACTTTCCATTTTTTATATTTGTAGAAACTTATTTGGTGGTGTTAATTAAACTTGCCCAGCTAAGCATTAGAACCGGAATTTAGAACCATTTAGTCTTTTTTCTTTGTCTTGTGCAAGTTCAGTGATGGCTTTTGTTGACTTGCAGATACAGCCTATGCTCATCACAAGGGCAGAATGTCATAGTGGTTAAGAGCACCAACTCTGTAGTCAGACTACCTGTCTTTGAATCCCACTCCTTCACATATTCACATATTCGTTTGTAAAGAATACAAGTGTATTCTTCCCAAATATGTTATCAGGAAAAGCGTACTATTTTACAATCTTATTTTTTCCTTCACTTAGCATGGTTTGATTTTAGCCAAGTTGCTTAACCTCAGACCTCACCTAGAAAAAATTGATTATAATAGAGTCTTCGGGTTATTTCATTATATGTAATATATATCATGTGATTAGAACTGTATTTTCTCCTTTACACATAGTAATCAAGTCAGCAAATTGTCATCAAATCTCATTGTAAGTTAGAGTACTTCTGCTAAATTTATAGATGATCCAATCATAGCTAAAGTTTACTGTTTTTTAACATGAAATTCAGAGGTTTTTACTTCCTGCTTGATCATATTACTGTATTTCAGGGATTCTCTTAATGTGATATGGAATTATTCCTTAGCTACTAAAAAATTTTGTGTAATAGCATATTATTCTCTTGGACCCTTAGGCATAACCAGATATAAAATATATGCTTTACTCATTTGTAGCTTACTCCATCTGGAAGCATTTCCCTTATCAAATCAATGCATTTAATTAAAAATCCTGTGAAGACCTGTGACAAAGTTTATTCCTTTATTCAAAGTTTGACTTCTCAAATCAGACATCGGATGGAAGATCCCAAGTCTTCAGGTAAATATTATGTTTTTTTAGAGCATAGAACAAATAAAAATTGCTATCTGGTTACTGTAAGTATTTTTAAATAAGATGCACCAGTCTTCTTATTTTAAGAAATCCAGCTTCTCTCTTGAAATCTAAGTACGATATGGGTTAATATGTATCCAGCAAAAGAACAATAGTTAAGTTATAGTTGCCTTATCTATGACAGCATGTAGGAGACAATAAAACATTCTTATTTGAACATTTACTTATATATCATTGACATATAGTTAAACAGTGAATAGATAGATAATAAGGAGTAAGCAATAAGAAAGTGATTTGGGCTCTGACTCTGAGACTAGCTTGGTTAATAACTAGGGCAACTTCAGCATCTTGTGTTTCTTGCCTGTAAGAGTGGAACATTTGAATTGTTTAGTTCTTAATGTTCCTTTCAGTTACAGTAGTTTGCCTATTCTATTATTAATGAGAATCTAATAAAAATGAAAGCATTTAAAAACCAGAATCAATCTATAGAAGAATCCTGATCAAAAGGTGATGGGGAGGGGAGGGTACTGGAACAGAACTTCAAATTTTCATGTAATCCAGATTTTCTTGAGCTACTGAGGCTGGATGAACCCACGAAACTATTGTCCCGAGATAATCTTTAAACCTTAAACCGAAAGTATCTCCTGAAGTCTTTGAACCAAGCAACGGTTTAGCTTAATTGATATAGAATGTCTGCCTTGAACAAAAGAACTATCTATATGGGATCAAGCTGACAATAGCAACTCAAAAATTTACACAGGAAGTTTAGGGGACAGTGAGTTTATGTCAGTGAGGGAGGAACAATTCAAAATATGAGGATGAGAATGGTTGTACATACAATTTGAAGAATGTAATCAATGTTGCTGAATTTTGCATGTAGAAATTGTTGAATTGGTGTATGTTTTGCTCTGTTTTCAACAATAATAAAAAAAATTAGAATCTAAAATGTGTTAGCTTTAAAGGATTTTGTTACAAATATTGTACTTTTTCTTTTTAATATTACTTAAGGCTGTAATATATGGAAAAGATTGCCTGAGCACGCAGTTGTTAACCCAAGTATTTATACCTTTGCCCCAGTTTATAAAATATACGGTTGCTAATATATGTAGGAACACTGGTGGCACAGTGTTAAGCACTCGGATTCTAACCAAAAGGTTGGTGGTTCAAAGCCGCCAGCAGCTCCATAGGAGAAAAGACCTGCCAATCTGCACCAGTAAAGATTACAGCTTAGGACACCCTATGGGACAGTTCTACTCCATTATATAGGGTCACTATGAGTGGGAATCAACTCCATGGCACACAACAAGACAATAGTATATGTAACATACTACAAGAGCATTTCCTAACATAATACAGTTTGTCTTTGACATTTTAAAAGATTTTTAATTATCAAAAGTTTAATGTATATGAATTAACCAGATTTTTAAGCTGACTGTACTAAAAATGTTGTTATTTTAGATATTCAGCTTTACCATAGTGAGACATTAGAGCTTATGCTACGCCGATGGTCCAAGTTGGAAAAAGACTTTAAAACAAAGAATGGAAGATATGACATTAGTAAAATCCCTGACATATATGACTGCATAAAATATGATGTCCAGCATAATGGTTCCTTGAAATTAGAAAATACAATGGAATTATATAGACTTTCAAAGGCATTAGCAGATATTGTTATCCCTCAGGTAAGTAATTCTTAATTTTCTTACAGTGTTGTGTAAATAGATCCTTTTTAAATGTCTATCACTAGATAAAAGATAGTTGGTTTTCATGTCCCTATAAAACCCATAACTTTAAAAAAGAAAGCAAGTAATCATAAATAGATATTTTAAACTTTTTGTTTGTTACTTTAAATCACGTTAAATTATTTGGTTTGCTGATAGTTTGATTGTAGGGACTTTTTAAAAAAATTAAAGAATTCATATTCCTAAAGAGCAATAATATACTAACAAACAAAACAACTGAAAACAGTATAGAATAAATCACTTAAGTATTTATTGGCACATGTTGTGTATCTACCTACTCTATGCTATGAAAATGTGTGGGGAGGAGGAGATAAAGGTAGTTGTGGCCCTATGTAAAAAATTTCACGAGTCTTGCTACTTTATGTGAAAGTATTTGGAAAATGATCGTTAGAGGTCAAGATGTAAGTGGTTGTTGTGGAGGGGGCACACTGGTTTTTTTCGTTATAGAAGAATAAAAATAAATATGTAACTGGAATTCAGATAACCGAAATGCAGTTAGGCAGAGAATCAAATTTATAATAAAGGAAAAAGTGACAAAACAACATGAGATCAGGGATATGTTAAAAGAAAAATTTTCCCGATGTTGTATTGGAACCTTCTTTCAGCTCAATTATGAAAAGATGATTTGGTTATTGTAAAAGGAAAATATCAGACATTCCGACTCTGAACCAAAATAAAAAAGCAGGAAAAAATGATATGTATGTGGAAGATAAAGTTTATGAACCAAAATAGCTTTTTGTTGCCTTACAAATGCCATTTATAAAAATGGTTAAAATATGCCAATGTCCCTTTCCAGATATTCACAGAATGTCCAGGAAAGCCTACCAACTTTGAAACACTAAGAATTTAGATAGTGGAAAACCTACCTACAAGCGTTTATGTACATGTTAAAGATAAGCTTATTCCTTCAGCATGAAAGAGCAACTGTATATTTGTTTGATCAGATGTATAATACAGACAGGTATTTTGTATGAATTGGTGATTTACAAACATGAATCCGTTTTAAAGGGGAGGATAAAAATATCTCAAAGTTTAAGAATATGTCTGTGCTTCACTTTAACAAGCACTGACCTAAAAAAAGGAGCTTTTTAAAAGTATTATAATTTAAAAAAGCACCAAAAATTAGTATTGTCAGGCAAGATTTGAGCCATCATTGTATATTCTAAAACAAGTCTTTACACTCAGGTGTTCTCAATATCCATTACAGTGATTCTCTTTTGATGCAGTTAGGTAAGATTTTCACAACAGTTGGAGAAGTTATTTGAAGACACCTTCAAAATTATTTTCCTGAATTAAATAGTTTATCTTTGAAATCTTAGAACTCTTTAGAAAAAATTATGTCCAGTCTTCCAGGAATCAAAGTCCTATTTTTGGTTAATCCATAACTAACTTTAAAAGCTGAGGTCTTTATATATGCTTTCCTGGTGTTCTGAGATTATTTTATAAATTGAGGAGAGGACAGATTGGGGTTTACCTCCCTATTTGAGTTGACAGTTCTTATTATGGCAGAAACTTGGGATTTCTTCTTGTGATAGGGTGTTGAATTCAGTTCAGTAAATATATTATTTTGTTACTTTCATTTTCATAAATCTAAAGGCCTTGGATAAAATGGAGACATTTTTAATGATTGAAAAAATAAAATTTATAAACATGTTGAAAGTAATAATTTGTAATATAACATGGTTTGTAACAGAAAAAAATGAAAATTTTGTATACTTAGTTCTCAAGTGAATAAAGAATATTCCAGGCTTACAGATTTGATGACTCAGTCAAATAATGTAGATTTTTAACTTGTTTAGAATATAGTTTAGGTTAGCAGGAATCATTGGATCTGTGCAAGAAACATGTATATATGTTCTGGTGTACTTCCAAGTGTTGATATGTTCTAAAAAGTCTGTTTCCACCTTTACCATTAAATCAATAAATTCTTTCTTATATCTATGCTTATATGAATTATGTAATACCAGTCATATCTAAGCTTGAATATGATAACCATGGTCTATTCTTGTTATTTTAGTAGTTAAACTAATTTTGTTTCTGACAGGTTTTATGCTGCAATAGAGTTAGTATTTCACTTTTTAACCTTTTTCAATCCTCAGAAAATTGTGGTCATGGTTCAAAACGATGCTTTAAAATAGTCGTGATTGTATCATGGTAGATAGATGAACATCTGAAGACTGAATTTTGTATTAAAATTTTTGTAATTGAGACGGCACACATTTATTAAAGAGAGTTTGAAGACGGTTTCTTTGGTTATCTGTAGATTATGAAATTCTGAGGTTTCTTTATAATAGCATTTGCCATATAAAGCCCATTGACACAATTCATTGAATAGTACCACATAGAAAATCTTTAAATAGCCTCATTTATTTTAATTAGTTCTGTTAATCAGAGAAATATTGTAACTGCATATGAGAACTTTGATATCTAACAATAATTTAGAGTTGGTCGGTGGTGGCAGATGAGCAAAATATATCACTACACTGAAGGGAAAAGTTTATTACAGAAGTAATGTATCTTTGTTGTGAAACAAGAAAATGTAGACATAGCAAAAAAAAATCACTATAATATTACTAACTAGAGATAAACACAGTTGATGCTTTGGAGTATTCATAAAGGCCTTTTTCCTTAAATTCATGCACGTATGTGTTTTCTCATTAATGCCTGTATATAGCAAATGTATTCTTTACAAAAAAGGAATAAGGAAAGCATAGTATTTTACAACCTGATTTTTTCCCATCATTTAGCATCAAGAACATCTTTCCATGTTACTAAAACTGTGTATATATCATTATTACTAATGGCTGAATGGTGTGAATGTATAATAATTTATTTAGCAAATTTCTGGTATTTAGAAATCTATTATTTTTTTTTTAAACTCCCTAGAGTATTCTGTAGCTTCAGAAAATTTTTACCAGTTTTCATCCAGACTAGCAGTGTATGAAAATTCTTGTTTCCTCTTACCTTGTTAATAACAAATTTGTTTAGATTTTTTCCCTGATGATTTTTTAACTTTATTGAGGTATAATTGGCATGCAATAATATCTACCAATTTTAAGTGTACATTTCAATGAGTATTTTCTTTGTTATTTTTTTCCTTCAATGAGCTCTGATAAGCATTTACACCCATGTAAATACAGTCAAGATACAAAACATTTTCATTGCTCCAAACAGTCTCCTTTTGATCCCTCTCATTAAATCCCCTCACTCGTGGCCCCAAGCAACTACTTCTCTGCTTTTTTTTAATGTGGTAAAATACACATAACATAAAATTTGCCATTTTAACTATTTTTAAGTGTATAATTCATTGACTTTAATTACATTCACAGTGTTGTACAACCTTCATCACTGTATATTTCCAAAACTTTTTTCACCACCCCAAACAAAAATTCTGTACCTACTAGGCAATAACTCCCCATTTCCCTTCCTTCCCCAACCCCTGATAACCTTAATCTTTCTGTCTCTATGAATTTGCTTATTGTAGATATTTCATATAAGTAGAAATACACAATATTTGTCCTTTTGTATCTGGTTTGTTTCACTTAGCATAATCCCCTGATGATTTTTTTAATCCAACACTTTTCTTCTGTTTACACATACGTCCACAATAACCTATATATCTCTTCTGCACACCCATTTAGCAATCATCTTATCTTGATAAGATTATTGACTTAACTTGCCATGATTGGGAAAGTAAGCTTTAGTTTACATTAAATGGCCCCAAGAAGTTCCATTTTCACAGATCTTCTATAGGATCAATCTATAGTCAAACAGCATTTTCTTTATTAAGCAGATTTGAGGTCTGTTATCCATACTGATGTTTTGCCATCTGAATCTTTACGGAGATACCTGATATCAGGAGGTAACCTTTATTTCAGGTAGCCTAGAATGAACTTTCTGTGATGGTGCAATGCTTAGCAACTGCCTAACTGAAAGGTTGGCAGTTCAAACCTATCCAGTGGCTCTAGGGAAGAAAGACTTGGTGATCTGCTCCCATAAAGATTACAGCCAAAGAGACCCTATGGAGCAGTTCTGCTCCATCACATGGGTCACTATGAGTTGAAATCCACTCAGCAGCACCTAATGACCACAACAGAGTGAACTTGGAGAAGGTTTACCCTTTCCCCTTCCCTCCTCCATTTCTCTTCTCTCCCTTCCTCCTTTCTACTTTTAACCTCTCTCTCTGTTCCCCTCTCATACACATCACAATTTTTTCTTTTCTTATATCAGGCTGTTTTCTAATCTGCCATTTTAAACTGTAATTTTTATTACAATTACTATGTTTTCTTGACACTCTAGATTATAATAATAATTTATTATAAACCTTATTACCTCATAGTGATTATAGACATTATTGAGTTTGATAATTTTAGAACATTTTTGCTCACCACTAGTTAAAACTTTAAAAATATTGGCCAAAGGCTTTTGAAGAATTTATTAGTCTTTATAATCTTTGACATTTGGATAGACAAAAATCTCATGGCTTTAATTCATACTTTAAAACTATATTAAATATATAAATTTTGCATATATTTATTGACTATTTAAATATATGAATGTATTCTGTGCTTTAGCGTTTGTGGCCTTTGTCCATCTTTCTTGTAGAGTTTGTTTTTGCATTTGGAACCTCTGGTCGTGTTGAGCTAGTACCCACAAAGATTATATTCATCCTCTTCTCTTCAGAAATTACTTGCTTTTTCAGTTCTGCTACAAAAATCCTTCCGATTATACTTAATAGTTTCAGGAAGGGTGTGTGTGTATATTTTTCCTCCACTATAATTTTCTAATTTAAGGGTGCATTTGTTAGACAGAAATCTTTGTCATATACCTTATTACTAATACGTATTTTCTGCTCAGGAATATGGTATAACTAAAGCTGAAAAACTGGAGATTGCCAAAGGCTACTGTACTCCTCTAGTTAGAAAAATTCGTTCTGACCTTCAGAGGACACAAGATGATGACACTGTAAATAAACTCCATCCTGTGTAAGATACTGTACTGATTATTTACATCTGTGGGCATGTGTTTTTTTGCATATTTCAAATCTAAGTTACTTTTTAATGTTCCTATGAAGAAGTTCCAATGTCCAGAGTTTGGCAGTATGGCACACTGGGGAAATAACAATTATCTAGCGTGGTGCAAACAGTTAAGTGCTCAAATACTAGCTGAACTGTTGGCAGTTCAAACCCACCCAGAGGCACCTGGGAAGACAGGCCTAGTGATCCGCTTCCAAAAGGTCACAACATTGAAAACCCTGTGGAGCAGTTCTATTCTGTACATATGGGGTTGCTGTGAGTCAGCATCATCTCAGCGGCAACTAACAACAATAACAACAGGCATTCCTATTAGCTTCCAACCAAGTTTCTTTTTGGCTCCAAATTGGAGAAAAACTGAGGTGAAGGGAAAAAAAGGCTATGTGTCATCAGCTAAACTATACCCCATTCAGCAGCATAAACGTCTTTGAACTTCTTTAGGACTATGACCTCTGTCATTGCTAATAGGGAAGCTTAAATAACCTATTTATAGTGAACTTGATTAATATTACCAGTAAATCTCCTTTGACTAATCTCAGAAGTTCCAGCTAGTTTCAGTTAGCTTCGTATTAGAGGAATAACTAAGATAATTCCTCAATTGTAGTTAGAAGAGTGATAGATTTACTTATTATGGTCTTTTACTTCTAGTAGGAGTAAATTTCGTGTTACAAAATAATTTCAGTACTTAACTACCTTTATAGTTATGTTTTAATACTGTCTGCTTGTGACCTTAGGTATTCCAGAGGTGTTCTGTCCCCCGATCGTCATGTGCGTACTAGATTGTATTTCACCAGTGAAAGTCATGTGCATTCTTTACTCTCTATTCTTCGCTATGGTGCCTTATGCAATGTAAGTAGAATCAGTTATTCTGATATAACAAACAAATATGTTGCCTTGAATTTGTAATCAGATCACTAGCCCTGCTATTGTTAATGTGAAATTTTTTATAATTCATTATTACCTTTTACAGTTCATCACTTTTCAAGTGTCTGCTGTATCCCAAGCACTGTGCCAGACGTTGGGGATAAAGACATGTTCTCTTCCTTTCAGAGAAGACCCATTTAAACAAACAATAATACAAAGCATTTTAGGTGCTGTTAATGCTAGTGGTAGTGGGATAAAGAGAAGCTGATGAATTTGAGTTATTTAGGTGGTAGAATTGACAGGACTTGGTATATGGTTGAGTATAGTGCGTGTTATCTATTGTTATAAGATAAATCATACCAAAACTTAACTGTCTTAAAACAACCACGGTCATTTTATTTTTATCTCTCATAGCTCAGAGGATTGACTGGTTAGGCGGTTTTCACTCGGGGTTCTCATGGACTTGTAGGCAGATAGTGGCTGCGGCTCTAATGATTTCAGAGGTTTTCTCCCATGTCTGGTACTTGATACTGGCTGTCAAGTGGTTCCTCAGCTGGGGTTGTAGACCAGAATATCTACATGTTACCTCTTCATGTGACCTGCTTCTACCCAGACAGCTGGCAGCTGTGTTCCAAGAATGAACTTCCTAAGAGAAAAATATGCAAGTGTATGACATTTTTATAACCTAACTTCTGTAGTCACATAGTGTCATTTTTACTGAGCTCTGTTGGTTGAGACAGTTACAAAGTTCCATCCAGGTTCAAACGGAGGGGAAATAGGCTCATAACCACTAGATGGATAGAGTGTCAACATCACATTTTTTAAAGAGTACATGGGATTGGATATATTGTGGCAGCCATCTTTAGAAAATACAGTCTACCACAACAATTCATATTCCTCTCACATGCAGAATTCACATAGGAGGAATATGAATTCCTCCCCTAAACCCCCTTGCTCCCTGGTCTTATCCTATTACAGCATCATCCTGAAATCCAGGAGCTCATGTTCTAGATCAAGTCCCGATGTGGATGAGATTCCTTGGATAAATCTCGTTGCGCTGTACAGGACACTCAATCTGAAGTTCTCAGAGTACTAAATCTCAATCCAAAGACCTGTGAACTAAAGAAACCACTTATCTGCTTCTCACACACCCAGTGTTCAATGGTGGAACAGGCATAGGATAACCTGCTCAAAAAAGGGGAAAACAGAAGTTACACAGCAGTCCCTGGTCCATAGCAATTTTAGAATCTACCTAGGTACATGTTGCCAGGTCCTTAATTTTAGGACTATCATACTGCTAGGGAGTTGCTTACAGTGGCTCTTAGCTTCATAGTTTGAGCTCTTGGTTGCTACCTCTGGGTCATCCTTTTTCCGTAAACATAGCCCGTGTTTGCAACTGAGTAGTTTCCTCAACCTCCTTCCTCCCCGAAGAAGTTTGGTAATTCAAAAGTCTGTTTATTTTCAGTTTAAGATGGTGCAGTTTAAAAAAAAAGAAAAGTTGTGGGCTTTTTATGTATCAATTTATAATCTACTCCGTTTGACAAAGTCACACCCTTGAGACTCTTAAGGATAAGTCCTTTCTATCTTGGTCTCCTGGAAGACATGCTCATAAGATAACTTAGAAAATCTTTTGTCTCTTTGAAGGATTTGTGAGGCACCTCCTTACATCTTTCTGAGGTCTGTTTTGTATGATATTAAAACAGCCACCTCAGCTCTCTTTTGGGTACTATTTGCATGGAATATTTTTTCCATCCTTTCACTTTTAAACTATTTGTGTTTTGGCGCCTAAGATGTGTTTCTTGTAGACGGCATGTAGTTGGTTCTTTTTTTTTTAATTCATTCTGCTACTCTTGTCTTTTCATTGGAGGGTTTAATCCATTTACATTTCTGGAAGGACTTGCTTCTGCCATTTCTTGTTTGTTTTTTATGTATCGTATACTGTCTTTGTCTCTTATTTCCTCTAATACTGCTAACATTTGTATTTAGTCAATATTTTGTACTGAACCATTTTGATTCCCTTCGTCTTTCCTTTTGTGTATATTTTTTAGATGTTTTCTTTGTGGTTACCATGGGTATTACATTTAACATCTTACTTAATATAGCAACCTGATTTAAATTGATACCAACTTAACTTTAGTAACATGCAAAAACTCTATTCCTATAACATCCCCCCCCCGTTTTTGTTGTTGTTATCACCAATTACATCTTTATACATCATATGCCCTGTAACATAAATTTATACTTTTTAATGCATTTGTTATAAAGCATGGAGGACATAACAACTAGAATACCCAACCAAAAATACTTTAAACCTGGTCCTTATACTTTCCCATGAAATTACCTTTAATGGAGACCTTTTTTTTTGTGTATGGCTTTGAGTTACTGTCCAGTGTCCTTTCGTTTCTGTCTGAAGGACTCCCTTTAGTGTTTGTTGTAGAGTAGGTGTAGTAGCAACAAATTCCCTCAATTTTTGTTCATCTGAGAATATCTTAATTTTGCCCTCATTCATGAAGGACAGTTTTGCCAGATATAATATTCTTGCTTGACAGTTATTTTCTTTCAGCACTTTAAATATGCCATTCCACTGCTTTCTGGTCTCTTAAGATTTCTGAGGAGAAATTGATGCTTAGTCTTATTAGGGATCTTTTGTATCTGACAGTTTGCTTCTCTTTTGCTGCTTTCATGATTCTTTAATTTTTGAGAGCATGATGAAAACGTGTCTTGGTGTCAACCTTTTTAGTTCATGCTACTTGGAGTTCATGGAGCTTCTTAGATTTGTAGATTTATGTCTTTGGAACATTTTCTGCTATTATTTCTTGAAATAGTCTTTCTGTCCCTTTCTTTCTTTTCCTTCTGGCATTCCCATGGTGCATATGGTGTCTCACATTTCTATTAGGCTGTGTTCAGCAGTCTTGATCCTTCCTTACTGCTATTCAGACTCAATAATTTTGATTACTTTATCTTCTAGTTGGCTGTTCTTTCTTCTGCCAGCTCAAATCTGCTGTCAAGCCCCCTTCAATGAGTTTTTCATCCCATTTATGGTATCTTTCAACTCCAGTATTTTTTGGGTTTCTTTCTATAGTATCTATCTTTTTCTTTCTATTCTCATTTTATTCATGCATTGTTTTCCTGATTCCTTTTAGTTTTTTGTCGGTGTTTCCCTTTAGTTCTTTTAGCATGTTTAATATTTGCTATTTTAATTTTTTCTAATCTGTCCATTTTTAGGGATTCCACAGAGACAATTTCTTTATCTTTGCTTGTTCTTTTGAGTGGGTTGTCATTTCCAGTTTCTTTGTTCGCCTTGTGATTTTTAATTGAATCTCAGACAGTATGTTATAGTGTTTTGGCTTTCTCAATTTCCCCATATACACAGCAGTTTTGAAAACACTGATATCCTCAAGGAATTCTTAGGCAGGCACAGACTTCAGGCTTTGCTCACTGTTCCCTCCCACACCCTGTGAGGCCCTGATTTAGACCAGACTGAACTTACAGTTCTTCAGACCGCTCCCATACCAGTCAGAACGTACACATTGAACAGTGCACCAGCAGGATCTGTTATATTGACTTTGGAGCTAGAGATTGGGGCCCTTTTTAATGCACAAGAGAGTTGTGGGTCAAGTGTACCTGTGGCTAGTGCTCCACAGCAGTCAAATGGCTTCCAGGACAGGGATGGATGGAGACAATGGAAAAATAGATTTTCCTACTGTTTAAAATTTTCCTTTACCTTGCTTCAATTTGCAGCTTGTTGATTCTATCATTAACCTGCTTTTTGAGAGTTCTTAGAGGATTGAGTATAGATTTCTAGTTGCTTTTCTCGGTGCTTATGTGGGAGGGCCAGGATCTTGGAGCTGCTTATGCCGCCATCTTCCCAGAAGTCCTGGTCTTAAGAAAGGGTTTTACAGTCGTACCCTTGGTGTAAAGATGAAGCTATATTTTCCTGACAGAACCCTGTATTTGTTCTCTCCCAGGAAGCCACTTTTTAATTATAGGATTGTTTGCCTCTGGAAAAACTGGGAATGAGAAGTTTATTTTTGAAGCCAGCCAGTCCTAGCTCCTTTATAATGAACAGTTTGTCCTTTAGCTTATCTCTTCTCATATTTTATCACAGACAGTGAGAAGAAGCTTGTGACACTTTCAGTATTCTTGGAAATCTACATAGCTAGCTTACTGAGTTCATTAGGTATGCATCCTATTTTTTCCTTGTCTACAGGCTACAGTGTTTCTACACTTTCTGCCACTACATAGTAAGGGTTCTTTTTCCTCTAACTCCCAACGACATTTTCCTTAACTCACCGACAACCTCCTCAAGGGTTTTAAGGCTTTCACTAACACTCTTCCTTTTAGGCTCTTTAGGCTTTCACCAACACTCTCCTCCAGGCCCTTCCAGCGCTACTGATAGGAAAGATGAGTTTTTGCATGTTATTGAAGTTAAGTTGGTATCAGTTTAAATCAGATTGCTATGTTTAGTAAGATGTTAAATGTAATACTCATGGTAGCCACAAAGAAAGCATCTAAGAAATATACACAAAAGGAAAGACGAAGGGAATTAAAATAGTTCACTACAAAATATCAACTAAACACAAATGCTGGTGGTACTGTAGAAAATGAGAGACAAAGACAGTATAAGTAGAGCTAAGTTTATTGGGCATCTATTGAAGTCAGGCTACATTTCTAAAATAAAAACTGAACAACTTGATTCTGTTAAAAATCTGTTATTCCAAGGGAAAAAATTTACTTGTAATTATTAAAGTGAAAATTAAAATCTATACTAGAATCTCTTTTTTCTAATTAAAAAAAAATTAATTTCTTTATAAGTCAGTGAGAAACCCTGGTGGCATAGTGGTTAAGAGCTACCACTAACCAAAAAGTTGGCAGTTTGAATCCACCAGGCACTCCTTGGAAACCCTATGGGATAATTCTACTCTGTCCTGTAGGGTCGCTATGAGTTGGAGTTGACTCGATGGCAGTGGGGTTTTTTTGTTGTTGTTTATAACTCAGTATCTAACTGGTATTATCCATTTAGCAGTCTGTAAGTAATAAATGTGACACCTTTATCTACTCCTTAGAGCAGACCTAGCAAAATCTATAATTGCAACACTGAATTATGTATTAGATGGTGGTATTGTTTATCATCTGGTATCGTAAAGACCAATAGATCTTGTCACCTGGTGGAAATTTTTATTATTTCAACTTAGTCATTTATAGTAATTCATAGTTAGTGAAGCTTAGTAATAATGTGCTAATTTATATTTTCCTTTCTCAATTTTGGAAAAAATACTAATCATTGCACACCTGAACATACATACACACACATGCACACTCGCATAGATGCAGTTTTTACTCTGAAATGTTGCTTAGTTGGGAGTAGTTGCTCTGATGACTTGGTCAGAGCATTTAGAGGTGTAAATAACCATATGTTGAAATGAAGCTTAGAATGCATGTAATTGCATGGTGTTGATTTAACTTTAGTCTTCCAAAAACTTCAAGAGGGGAATGCTTCAAGAAGGTACGTCTAAATTTAAAATAGAAATCTGTACTGAATTTTTTTTAACAAGTAATCAACTTATAGTCTTATAAGTTTGGGCTTTTGCATATCAGATTTTACATGTAAGACAAGACACATTGTATATTAAAGTTCAAAATATTATATGCAAAAATTGTTAGGTGCTTTTGTATATTTGTAATGCTTATAACACGTATAAGGTAAAAGAAAGCTATCTGTGATGTTTGTGAGGTATTAGCAGATCCTATTGACCGTTTGTACCTTGAGTAGTTTTATCTCTCCAGATAGAATTTTCTACTTTGAATGCTCGTGATGTGTGTTCTTTAAGATTCCTTTCAGCTCTGATGCTCTGTGATTACATATTTAAAGACTGATGATTCTCCAAATGAAGGTGGAAAAATGGAGAAGAAGATAGTGAGATCAGTAGAATCCACATAGTCCTGCTGATTTTTAGTAATACTGCAGTGTAATGAGGGGTATTTATTGATAAGCGTGTATTGGATATACCGACTATGTTGGTGGGAAAAAATAGCACCAGTCTTACAGGATAGTGTTTTGAGTTTATGAAGCATGGTATATTACACTAGGTACTTTGAGACTTAGAAGTCTAAAAACTGCCCTTAATCTCAGAATTCAGTAGTATGTTTTATATTTCAAGAGATGATTTTGACTTAAAGCAGTTTTAGAAGGAAGTTACCACTAGAGTCACTAATACTGCTGGTAAGATATTTTTAAAATAATTCACTTAAACAAGCCTAAGTAGCTTATTGAGACTTTTAAATATAGGGGAATTATTTCGAAATGTCATGCATATGAGATGATAAGTATTCACTTTATTTGTATGACATTACTCAGAATTAAACAAACTACCATAATGAAAATAGAATGACTTTGAGCTGATGCAATATGAGAAAATACTTACGATATACCTTTTGTTCAGGAATCAAAGGATGAACAGTGGAAACGAGCTATGGATTATTTAAATGTTGTCAATGAACTCAACTACATGACTCAGATTGTTATCATGCTTTATGAGGATCCTAACAAGGTAACAATTCTTGATTTACATTTGTTACCAGAGGTAAATAAATAGCTTAAATTTCCTCATTTTGAAAATGTTCTGCCATATTTTTTAGGATCTTTCCTCAGAGGAACGCTTTCATGTTGAATTACACTTTAGTCCCGGAGCCAAAGGATGTGAAGAAGATAAAAATTTACCATCTGGCTATGGGTATAGACCAGCTTCCAGAGAGGTAATGCGGATGTACCTCTCAGTGCTTGTTGATTACAATTCTGTATTTTCATGAGGTTTTTATAAAAGTTTTCTGTTACGTACTATAATTCATACCTCAGCTACTAAAAAGCAAGGTGGTTTAAATTTTTTAAGTATGATTTGGATATATAACACCTTTTTGCATGTTAGGATGCTTATGAAATTTATTTAGTGTGTTTTGGATTTTAAGGCCAAGTTTACAGTGGGTAGCAATAGTTTTTGTTTTTCACTGTTGTTGTTTTACTTAAGGATTATTATGTGCTAAACATTGTGCTAAGCTCTTGGTATGAATTACTGCATTTTAATCCTTACACTAACCTTACGAATTTAGATTTATACTCATTTTTAAAACTTTTTTATTAAATTATAATACATATTGATAAAAGTACCTAAATCATAAAAGCTTAATGAAATATCACCAAATGAACACAATTGTGAAATGACCAGGCAAGTTATGTATACAACATGATCATCATCCTAGAAGCCGCAGTTGTGCCCCATCTCAATTATCACCTCCCTGTGTTCTCCTCACATGTGGCTACTATCATGATTTTGATTAACTTTACCTATTTTGAAGTTCATATAAATGAAATTGTAAAATATATGTTCGCCTTTTTGGCGGGGGGCACATAGTGCGAAATTGGTTTGGCTTCTTTCATTATTTTTGTAAGATCCGTCCATCTCTTTCTTCATTCTTGTTACCATGTAGGATTCTATTAATAAATATAGGACATTGTGTTTATCCATTCTGTTTTGATGATCACTGGATTTGTTTCCACTTTGAGGCTATTAAGACAAATGCTTTTATGAACATTCTTGTACAGGTCTTTTGGTGAGCAAATGTACACATTTCTTTTGGATATGCATCTAGGAGTAAAATTGCTGGTTCTTAGGGGTGCATAAGTTCAACTTTAGAAGATACTGCGTTTCCATATCCTTTTCAGCTCTTGGTATGATCAGTGTTTTTAATTTTAGCTATTTGAGGGGTTTGTAGTGATATCTCATTGTGATTTAAATTTGCTTTATCCTCATGACCAGTATGGATTAGCACCTTTTCATATATTTAATGGCCATTTGGATATGCTTTTTTTGAAGTGGCTGTTCAAGTCTTTTGCCCGTTGTCCTAGTTATCTAGCGCTGCTATAACAGAAATACCACTAACAGATGGCTTTAATGAACAGAAATATATTTTCTCACAGTTTAGGAATCTAGAAGTCCAAATTCAGGGCACTGGCTCTAGGGGAAGCCTCTCTCTCTGTCTGCTATGGGGGAAGGTCCCTGTTTCTTTTCAGTGTCTGTTTCTTGGGAACCTTTCTGTATGGCGGTGTCTATCTTCCCCTGTCTGTGCTTTCTTGCTTCTCTACCTAATCTACTCCTTTTATGTCTCAAAAGTGATGGGCTTAGGACACAGCTTACATTGATATGGCTTCATTAATGTAATAAAGAAAACTGTATTCCCCAAATGGGATTACATCTACAGGTGTAGGGGTTAGGATTTACAGTACCTATTTTGGGGAGGACACCGTTCAACCCATAACACTCATTTTAGTTTGGTTGTTTACTTCTTTTTTTAATATGCTGTTTTCTTATTGATTTGTAGGAGTTTATGTATTCTGGATTTAAGTTCTTTGATATTTTGTTAGAAAATATTTTTTCCACTCTATAACTTCCCTTTTAACTCTCTTAATGGTATTTTGTTAGAAAATATCTTCTTCACTTTATAAATTTGGTTTTAACTCTCTTAATGGTATTTTTTGAGTAATAGAAATGCTTGCTGTTACTGTATTCTGAGTTATCAATCTTTTCACTTCTGGCTAGTGTCTTGTTTAGGAAATTTTGGACTACCAAGTTCATGGAGAAATTCTCCTGTATCATCTTTCAAAAGTTTTACTGTCTTCCAGATTTAAATCTACAAGCCGTTTGGAATTAACATTTCTTTATGTGTGAGAGTAAAGTTTTACCTTTTTTTAAATGGATATTCAGTGAGTCCCCTTCAAAAGACTGTACACCCACTTCTCACCAACATGGTTAGGTTACAAAGACCAGGTCATTATGCAAAATTGGTGTTATGTGAAAATGGAGGATGACCACATCAGATCACAAAACGGAGGATGACTACACCATTTTATAACTGCTAAATTACGTCATTATATAACTGCCAAATTACATCATTCCATAACTGCCAAACCACTGAGAATCATGGCCCAGCCAAGTTGGCATATAACCTTAACCATCACAGCCAGCGTTAGTCTCACCTTGCACCTCGACGTTCGTTAATGCCAATCAGATGTCGTTAATGCGCAAAATAGTTGGGTAGTAGATTTTTTACTGTTGTCGTAAATGCAAAATGTTGAATGATGAGATAGTAAGTGAGGAATAGATGTACTTTCCCCCATGATGCTATGGTGCCAATTCTAAGTGTCCGTGTGTACATGAATCTGTTTCTGTACTCTATTTTGACCCTTTTGTCTATTTACCTGTCTTTGTGACAGTATTTATTGCCTTAATTGTTGTAATTTTTTTTGAAGTTTCTATATCCAGTAGAGCAAGTCCTCCTATTTTGTTCTATTTTAAGATTTCTTTGGCTATTTTTGGCACTTTTTATTTCCACATAAATTTAAAATCAGCTTAGCAATTTTAACAATAAAACGTGTTGAGAGTTTGATAGGGATTCCATTGGCTATAGATCATTTTGGGGAGAATTGTCACTTTAGCTATGTTGTTTTACAATCTATGATGATGATGACTGCTGTCAAGGCAACTCTGACTCATGGCAACCTTATGTAAAATAAAATGAAATGCTGCCCAGCCCTGCATCATCCTCATGATTACTGGCATGTTCAAGGGCATCCTTGTGGCTGTTGTACCAGTCTATCTCACCAAGGTGGTAAGATGCTTTCCTGTTTGATCTAAATTTTTGAATTTAGGGTATACAGTTGTTCATAGTAACTTTATATTATCTTTTTATTGATCTATAACAACATCCCTTTTTTCATACTGATAACTTTTTTGTATTCTCATCTTAATTTTTTCTTGATGAGTCTTGGCAAGAATTAATGATTTATTAGCCTTTTCAAAGAACTGATAAATTACCTTGTTCGTTCTCTCTTTTGTGTATTCTATCTAGTTCATTAATCTTTTTTTTTTTATTGTACTTTAGGTGAAGGTTTACAGAACAAATATTTTCTCATTGAACAGTCAGTACACATACTGTTTTATGACATTGGTTAACAACCCCACGATATGTCAACCCTCTCCCTTCTCGACCTATTTTTTTTTTTGGTGAAAATATACATAGCCAAATTCAAAAATTTCTACATGCACAGTTCAGTGACATTGATTACGTTCTTCTAGTTGTGCTGCTCTTCTCACTGTAGATGAAGGTTTACAGAACAAAATAGTTTCTCTTTAAACAGTTAGTACGCATGTTGCCCTGTGACAATGGTTAACAACCCCACTACATGCCAACACTGTCCTTACTCCTATCACCAGCTTTCCTGTCCCCTTCTGCATTCTAGTCCTTGTCCCTGGACTGCTGTGCCTCATTAGTCCCATTTTGTTTTATGGGGCTGTCCAACTCCCGGCTGAACGGTGAACCTCGGAAGTGACTTTGCCACTGAGCTGAAAGGGTGTCTGGGGGCCATGCTCTTGGGGTTTCTTCAGTGTATTTCAGGCCAGTAAATCTGGTCTTTCTTTTCTGTGTGTTAGAATTTTGTTCTACATCCTTCTTCAGCTCTGTCCAGAACCCTCTGTTGTGATCCCGGTCAGAGCAGTCCGTGGTGGTAGCCTGGCACCATCTAGCTGTACTGGACCCAGTCTGGTGGAGGCCTTGGTAGCTGTGGTCCATGAGTCCTTCAGACTAATCTTTTCCTTGTATCCTGTTCTCTTCATTCTCTCTTGCTTGCAAAGGGATGAGACCAGTGGAGTATCTTAGATGGCTGCTCACAGGCTTTTAAGACCCCAGACACTACTCACCAAGGTAGAATGTAGAACATTGTCTTT